CTAGTAAAAATGTAATAAGAAGTAACAGAGCAATGTATAGGGCACTAAGCAGAAAGAGGCTTTAATATAAAATCATGGAGATACAGGCCACTTTATTTTCCAACCCTGCATGGAATTAGAAATCCAGCCAGATGGGCAGGGTATTATTATTATTATTATTATTATTATTATTATTATTATTATTGCTGCACTCTAGAGTCGATTGAGTTAGTCACCATGACTTCAATATCTTTTTCCTGGTTAATTCCAAGCAGTTCAGATCCCATAAGAATGGATGTTAAATTAATCTAAACCATTATAGCATGGGGTCCAGATGAATGTTAAGGGCTCTCCAAAGCCTAGGTGCTGCCATGGCAAGAGATCAGCTCCTAAGAGATGCAGAAAACATACTTTACGCGAGTTCTGTGGTTGAGCAGGCTCCTAGAGGAGAGTTAATCCTTCAAATAAACTGGCTCCAATGTGCCAAGATCTTTATATACCAGTAAAATCTTGAACTTGGCCCAATAACAAGTCAGCAGCCAGCACAGATCTTTAATCAGAGGTGTAATATGTTGACAGAACCTTACTGCAGTCAGTAATCATGCTGTAGCATTCGACACCAATTGCCATTTCCAAACCAACTGCAAGGGGTGCCCCAGGTAGAGTCCACTGCAGTAGTCCAGCCTTATAGTGACCAATGCCTTGACTACTGTGGTCATGCAGGTACCCAATGCTCAGGTCAATATGAATACACAAGCGCCTCTCCCCGGGAGTGAAAATACAACGATAATACAATTTGCTGCCCTTTCATGACATCCTAAAAAACCTGTCTGGTGAAGCAGCCTCATTCTACCTAATGGTGCCTTGGTTTAAACACAGCCCTGGAAGTGCTTTTAGTTGAACTGGCTAGTGAATATTCAGAAGAGGATTTGATAGTTGTTGTACAAAATGGTTATGCATGTGAAGAGAGTTACACTTTTTCCACCAGTGGTTAAGAAAGTATCTTCATCAAGAAGTTCATACCACAGACAACATTGTGATTTAAGACAAATCTCCTGGAGTTAGAATATTTCTAGTAAAACCCTACTGCTGTCTCTTGGGAAATTATCAGTATTTTCCAGCAGTTTATAGCAGCAAAATTAGGAGAGACTCAGAATTGTGAATGATTCATAGGAAGCTAGGGTGTGCAGACAACTTGTGCTTTACCAGGAAAGCTTGTAGTGTGCCATATGGATGGAGGAGTCAGGTTGAGATCGCAGAATATGTTTTGCTTCAGAAGTTCAGGGAATTCACGAAGACAACTCTTGTGGCATCAGAGGTGGGGCTAATGTTTGATGTTTTAATTTTCTGGAAGCCACTCAGGGTGACTGGGGCAACCCAGCCAGATGGGAGGCACATACTATTTTATTTTATTTTATTTTATTACTAGTACTACTACTACTACAGAAATAAGCTGAGAGCAGGAATGGGCAGGCAAAGATTCCTGTTCTAAGGGATCTTTTAACCATGTTGAATTATAATATAAACCAGAAATTCAAAAACAGCAGGAGGAATTCTCAGGGTACAATTCAGGGAGGCAGAATACTTATGAAGCACTATCTTTTTGAGATAATGGCAAAATATGTTGCAGTCTCAAAAACATATGGATCATGGACAATAAATGCAAAACTTGCAGTGCTCTGGGGAGTTTGATCACACTTACCAACAAATTAATAACCCTACCGCAGTCAGCTTTTATGACTATAAAAGTCCAGTCCTAGTAATTCAAGAGGGCCCTCGCAAGAGTTATGAAAAGGAGCCTGATCTTTTAAAGGAGGAAACTCACAGTTGGAGAAAGTTTTGAAACCCTGCTTGTCACCAGAATGTGCGTCGCCCACAGGTCATGACTCAGCAATCCCTTCCCCTCTGCCCACACTGATTCGCTTGCTACTTTTACATCTGAAGAACAGCTGAAAGTGGGGGGAGATGGTCAGGAAATGTGATCTTGCGCAACATTTCGAGCTGGCAGCCAATCTGGGTCTCCCTACTGCTAAAGCCATGCATACTGAATAGACCAAAACACCATCCGAGGGAGGCAAATCAGCAGTTTAAGATGTCGGATGCTGGAGTAGTGAAGGAGGCATAGCCACCTCGCTTTAAAATTGGCTCTGCAACAGTGGGAGGGGAGCCCTGACCACCCGAATTTGACTAACAAATTGACTCACCATGTGGCTAGCAGACGGCCTTATTAAATGTGCACCACTCTCTTCTAGTATGTCTGCCTTAGCCTAGCAAAGCCAGCCAGCTCTCAAGTCCCACGGGTAGCCGTTTCAGAGCAAAGAGAGATGGAGATGAATGGAATGTGGAGTGTGAGAGAAAGGCTAAACAAAAGCAAGTTGCCATATTGGAGCAGTAGAATCTATAAACTGAGCACAAACGAGTCAGGAACTATGATCAAAGGAACTTGGATGTTGTGGATATATGGGATTGTGTGAGCCGCTGAGTTAGGATGAAGTGGGCAGTGGAAAACACTATTGCCAGACTCAGGAATATTTTTGGCAATGGCAGTAGGATATCTTACATCGAGGTGGAGGACCACTGGCTTGCAGGCCAATCCTGTCCCACAAAGCCATTTTTTAAAAAAACATGTCCACCTGCCAATCAGCTGACATCACTCTGATGACATCCTCTGATGGGCAGTGGAGCGGTTACATTCTGCATTGGCTGCACATGCCAGTTCCCATTGGTTACATGTGCCAGTCACATATGATGATGCAGTATTGCTTCAGAGCTGCCAATAAAATTTATGGCTTCTGCTAAAGGGGCTTGCATAGTCTCCCCCACTCCTAGATCTAACACATCCCTGGGCTCTGTACTCATTGGGTCATTACTGGACCACGAATAAACTTTCCTGCTTAATATATGTATAATTTTAGTATTTTATATTGTATTATCCTTTTATATTTTTTGTTGTTTTATATTGCAAGCTGCTTTGGGTGTTATTTTAACAGAAGAGTGGGGGTATAAATATTAAATCTAAATCTGAACAATTTTGATTCGATTTTATACCTTGTGATACTTTGGCCACATCATGAGAAGAGAAGACCCCCTGGAAAAGACCCTGATATTGGGAAAGATTGAGGGCACAAGGAGAAGGGGATGAGAGAGGACGAAACTACCAACATGAGTTTGACCAAACTGCGGGAGGCAGTGGAAAACAGGAGTGCCTGGTGTGCTCTGGTCCATGGGGTCACGAAGAGTTGGACATGACTAAACGACTGAACAACAACAAATACCTTGTGAATCAATTGATAGAGAATGTTGTTTCAACATATGTCCATGCCGATAGGCTGGCTGAAGGCATGTACATATTCATTGTTTAGGATCAATAAACTTTGCATTCAACATCCAGTCTCCTATTTCCTTTCAGTTAAAAAAAGATTAGATTCTCAGAGATTGAAAGCATTGTTTTGGCAAACCTATTATGGAGAAAGTCAATCCACAGGCAAAATATTTTAGTCAGAAATGAAAAGAACACACTTAATATAGAACAAATTCATGTGAAGTGAAGTTGACTTTCATTGATGGAGGAATGGACAAGGATAAGTGAGATACTGTATATCATACTGGGAAAGAACAAATAAGGTGTATTGTGGTGGTGAGAGTTTTGGATTTGGACCAGGAAGACCTGATTCAAATCCCTGCTTAGCCAAGAAGCTCATTGTGTGTGGCTTTAGACAAACTAGTAAGATTCATGCTGCCCAAAACTCTGTCTCCACAATTTTGTAGTGGCAAATAGCAAGTGCAGAGGGTATGATCATGGTTGGTGGGCAACCTGAAGAGGGAATTGTAATTTTTCCTCTCCCCTTGTTGTCCTAATAGAAATTGTTTTCCATTCGAAGTTGCTGTTAGCCCTAGAAAGGAAGCTCTTTTTGGTACCAACTAGTCTCTCCCTCCTAGAGCTAGCAATAGCTTGGAGAAGGGGGATTTTCACAGAAACTGTTGCAGAGGGAAAGGGGTGAAACTCCCCTTCCATCATGTCCTATTTCATGTCATATGTAATTTGGCCCTATATCACAGTGGTCATGGGAATCAAGTTGGGGAAGTGCACGAATGCTGCCTTGATGGCCTTGGAATACCATAACCAGTACATAATTTCTCTATCCAATATGCTGCAAACTTCTTAGAGCTGCCTACTTTGATTTCCCTTTGCTTATCAGAGACTCGGTTTGAACAAGGCATTTACATGAACAAGCGCCGAGGGCCTTCTGGCGGTTCCCTCATTGCAAGAAGTAAGGTTACAGGGAACCAGACAGAGGGCCTTCTCGGTAGTGGCGCCCACCCTGGGGAACACCCTCCCTTCAGATGTGAAGGAAATAAGTAAAAGCTATCCTATCTTGAAAAGACATCTGAAGGCAGCCCTGTTCAGGGAAGTTTTTAATATTTAACGCTGTATTGTTTTTAATACTTGATTGGGAGCTGCCCAGAGTGGCTGGGGAAACTCAGCCAGATGGGCGGGGTATAAATAAATTATTATTATTATTATTATTATTATTATTATTATTATTATTATATTTACTCATTTGCAAGACTGGTTTTTTTGCTCCACATTTCTGATATTTGCAGAAACAAGAACCATGCAAAGAAAGACCTGGAAATAAGGAAGCATTTCTTTAAATTAAGAGAGTCCTTCCTACCATTCATTAGAATTTTAATCCCGTCATTGCTCTGTCTCACGGTTTTCTGACAAAAACAAACACACCCAATGAGCCAATAAGCACGGTCAAAGTCTAGTCAAACAAAACCAAGCACTACATTTCAAAGGTAAAGGAAAACAGAGGGAAACATTACTTTTCTCTAGGAGCACATGTACATGTACAATCTCAGTCTAAAAGCAACAAATTTCATTCTGCATTAACACCATTGTCCTTTTTAGCAAGTATTTTCACCTTGTGGTTCTCCCCCCTCTTCATTTTATCCTTGCAACCCTGTGAGGTATGTTAGGTTGAGAGCTGGTGACTGGCCAAAGGTCACCCAGTGAGTGTCATGACTGAGTGGGGATTTGAACCCCAGTCTCCCAGGTTCTAGTCTGGAACTCTATAACCACTATACCACACTGGCTTTCTTCACTGCTCTGCTGTGAAGTTACTCTGCTCTAGTTACTCTGCTCTAGGTAACTAGTTAGATAAGTAGATAGAATGTCTATGCATTCTGAGATAATTAAACAAAAAACAAAAAACAACCAGACTTGTTTCAACTGCTGCTGTGAAGCTTGATTTTCATAGCTTCAACCGAGGCCAAAATATTGTCTAATCCAGGGGTCACAAACTTTTTCAGCAGGGGGCCAGTCCACTGTCCCTCAGACCTTGGGGAATGACAACTATATTTTGGAAAAAAAAATGTGAACGAATTCCTATGCCCCACAAATAACCCAGAGATGCATTTTAAATAAAAGCACACATTCTACTCATGTAAAAACACCAGGCAGGCCCCACAAATAACTCAGAGATGCATTTTAAATAAAAGGGCACGTTCTACTCATGTAAAAACACGCTGATTCCTGGAACATCCATGGGTCGGATTTAGAAGGCAATTGGGCCGGTTCAGGCCCCCAGGCCTTAGTTTGCCTACCCATGGTCTAATCCAGGGGTGGCCAACTCCCAAGAGACTGCAATCTACTCACAGAGTTAAAAAGTGGCAGTGATAGTGATCTACCCCCTTTTTGAGGGTTCAGGACAAAGTTGTTGAGATTTTTTTAGGGAGGAGGAGAGCCCCGTTTTTGGGGGGTGCAGGGCAAAAATGTTGAGCTTTTTTTAGGGAAGCCAGTGATCTACCAGTGATCTACCACAGACGATCTACCTGTTGGACGTGCCTGGAATTCAACAGGAGTGAGTTAGTTCTGCCCCATATGTATGAAACGGTTTCCTAAGTTGTGCTCATTGTGGGATGAGTGATCCACTGTGTCCAGTGCCTCCACAAGGGGAAAGGGGCACATTGAGGCAGCAGGAAGTGGGTACTTGAGATCCTGTCACTGCAGCTCATGTTCCTTTGCAAAGCACCTTTATGCTACAAAGCAGGTGTGAAAAATCACTGTCACAAGTTCCCGAATGTCAGGTGGTGGGCAAGCAGGTCATGGTTCCTTTTTTGCCTTTGCCAGTACAAAGCTGAGTGTCAAGGTCCTTGCTCCATATCATGGAATTGCTGTGTGTCTCCTAACCAATCCTATTTTGGCATCTTTATTTAAAATATTTGTAGTCTATCACTGGAAAAGCTCTCCCAAGGCAATGTACAATAAAAATACAGTACAGAACAACAGCAATAAATTAACTAAAAGTCAGTAAAAGTAAGTCGAGCCATTTCAAAGAAGTTCCAAAAAGGCATCACATAACTACCACAAAAAACATCAACAGGACACAACTCAAGATAAAACAGATTAAAAACAAAGGAGTAAGTCGTTGCTCTTCCAGAAACCTGGACGTGGTTTAGATTGAAACACTCTGAAATGACTTCAGTATATGGCTTGAAGAAAAGAGCCTTTCCCTCCCTACAAATCTAAAAAAACAAAGCCTATTATGCTGCATTAAATGCAACTGGGCTGGAAATTGTATAATAATATCAGAGCAGTGCAGGCTTAGCCTACAGGCAAGTTAATAGAGATTAAGGAATAACTTTTACAACTGTCCCATATAGCTGGGTTACATCTGATAGGAAGAGGAGAAGTGAAAAGGAACAAGCACATAAAATATACTGCAGAGCAAACAGCCTGGAGTCACACTGGCCCTCCGGGAAAGGATCACTTCCTCCTCTCGGAAAGATAGAATCGTCACATATTAAAATGACCACATGCATGTCTCTTGGGAACATTTCTCTCTCAGGAACTTTTCTTTTAACAGCTTCTTGTACAGCTATGGCAACTGAAACAGGAGAGCCAAAACAATTTAGATGGTCTCTGCAGTTGCCATTTTCCACAGCCTTGACTAAAGCCTTTCAAAGTTGGATGAAATTTGATAGATACTGCTCTCTCATCACTGCATATCTATCACTGGATGAATGTTTACCTGCCTTGCTACCGTTAGAAAGATACAAGCAACCTAATGTATAATCATTCCATAGACAGAAAGTGTAAAGAATCTCATCTACGAGGAAATGGAAGTAGAGTATGGGTTTAACCAAGACAAGCTTATCTCTCTGTGAAGAAAGACCAGTCTGTGAAGAAAACACACTCATAAAAACATCTCTGTATAAAGGTGTTGTCGCACTCTTCCTCTCTTTCGTAACTAAACAAGGCCATATGTATCAAGCAAAAATACCATTATTTCCACTGAAATATCAAGGAATGGGTGACTCTCACCTTTCACACACAGACACTCAAATCTGACTATTTGACAGGTCTCGGAATTCTTCAGAAAGGAAGTTCCCTCTTTTGATTGCATTTAGAGAAACAAAACAACATTGTAAACGTATCATCCAATCATCCTCAGACTGGTGAAAGAAAATATCCAAAGACTATATGTAATGTCAATCATCATGAAGCAGGACTTTGATATTGAGCAAGATAATAGCAGTGAATAGTGGGTGGGCCAATTCTGAACAATAGTTTTTTGTGAGTGTCTTTCTCTCTGTGTTTATCTTCTTAATTCCTTATAAAATTTGACATCCCACCCTCCAGTCCAAGTAGCACTTACAATTTCAATAGAAAAGTAAACAAACTAAAGAGCCAAACCAAACTTAACATTAAATGCATCACTTCAAGTGCTGTAGTTATTCTTTTATTGTTAAAAGCTTCCTGCAGGGCTCTCTAAAGTTTATCTTCTCTCAGACTAATTGTGCCTTGATGGGGGAAGAGAAATGGGATGAGAGAGTATGGGACCCGTTCCTGGAGAGGAGCCCAATGGCCTGGGAGGGGCTGATCTGGATTCTGGAGAGAAGTTGAGCTGATTGTCAAGAGATAGGCCCAACTCAGTGACAGCAGTCATCCCAAGCATGGTAAAAAAAGAGGTGTCTGATTCTGTCTTGGTTCCACCTCCTGTTAGTGAGGCCCCTCCCAACTCTGGAAAGGCTTATGTTGGGACAGTGAATTGGCTGTGTTCACTCATCTCAAATCACATGGCATCAGCATGAGCAGACCCAGCCCACAGAAGTTTCCCCTAGTTTGGCCAGTCGCTTGGCTCAGAACATGACCTACACGATTGACTCTGTCCACCCTGCTTTTCAAAAGGGGAGCCTGGGATGGTGTCAAGTGCTGAGACAACATCTTAGCTCACAGCTAGCCATAAACCTTGGAACTCTGCTTTCAGTGCTTGTTTGCACACCGATCTATGTTTGGGCTTTGGAATAAGGCCTTCTGAAAATAATCATGCCAAGAGTCCAAGTACTGTGTCTACAAGTGGGACCCAGGACATGAATGAGGTCCCACAAGGTGCCACAATTTGACAGAATCTGGTGGCTGTCAAATGCCTTTGGGGAGAGGGCTTTCTTCTGGAATTAGAATTCCTCCCCTGTTCTCCTAGGACTCCCAAAGAGCAGATGGCTCTTTCTGGGAACAAAAAAGTGTCCCTAAACCCTTTTTAAAGTAGTAGAATGAATGAATGAATGAGCGAACAAACAAACAAACAAACACACACCCAGCAGCTGTAGAAGGAATTTGTTCGCAGAGCAGAATGTGACAACCAACTTTTCTTGAGTTTCAAGCTGGACCTGATCCCATAAGAGTAGCTACATTTCATAGAAGAGAATATGAGCCAACCCAAAAAACTTCACTCTTGCAAACAAAGAAGAATGTGACCTTGAAAGCTAACAAGGCAACAAGGACTTGTGAAACCTCAACCTCATTCTCCCAGCTATAAAAATGATTTTATTTAATTACTAGCCAAAGGAGTTTCCTGCTGAGCAGCAATATTGTGAGTTGTTGCCTAACTGTGGTTTGATATTATTGTGCAAGAGAATTACTGATTAACTGTAAGGGAAGAAAACATTCTTATCTTCCATAGGTATGCTATGAAATTCTGATACAATGCAGATGCAATCTTCATTTATGGGCTTTCTCTTTTAAGCAAACATCATGAGCAAGCCCGTGGTTTTAATTCCACCAAATACTCTGAATACAGAGAAACAGCAGCTTCTACTATTCCCCCACCCTGAAATGATCCAGTACAGTAATAAAAATTTAGCAGCTTTTTAAACACACACACACACACACACACACACACACACACACACACACAATTAATAAAGCTGCCAGTATGTTTAGAAAATGTAAGAGCTATTATCTTGCCTGCAGATCAAAATGTGGTTGTGGCTGGAGAAGTATAGTACAGTGGTACCTCGGGTTAAGTACTTAATTCATTCCAGAGGTCCGTTCTTAACCTGAAACTGTTCTTAACCTGAAGCATCACTTTAGCTAATGGGGCCTCCTGCTGCTGCCACGCCGCCGGAGCACGATTTCTGTTCTCATCCTGAAGCAAAGTTCTTAACCCGAGGTAATGTTTCTGGGTTAGCGGAGTCTGTAACCTGAAGCGTCTGTAACCTGAAGCGTATGTAACCCAAGGTACCACTGTAGTATCCTAACTGGAAGATTTAGTTCTCCCTGCCATCTTTCTTGGAAAATACAACATAAAACTAGTTAGACATTATGTGGCCATATCAAAACTGGAATGACAAGAAAACACCTACTTTAATAATAAATAATGCAAAACTGCTCTCTGCCCCCTTTTAGGGTGGTGGGAGAATTACTGAAACTTAATTATAAACTCTAAGAACTGAGCATAATTTGTATCACCCACCACTAATAAAGTTTCAAAACTCTGGGACATAGAAACAATATTAGGGGAGTGCCTCAAAACACACAGAGTGTATTTGTCTAGCCATCAAGAAAATACACCCATCACCACGCAAGATTATTTCTCAAGAGTATGTGGTTTCTTAGTACTGTACCTCCCTGCCTAGAACTGAAGGACTGGCACTGTGCTATTGAACAATAGTGACATCTGCTGGATAAAATAAGCTATCTTTCCTTTGGCATTAATTTTCAGGTTAATAGCTCCGTTTCTCACTTCACATCACAAAATGCTGACAATGAGCCCATAAGTTATTCTGTCCATTTTCTTTCCTCTTAAACTGAAAATATGAGATTTTCTCCAAAGCTCATAAACATTGTTGGAAATCTTTGGCAGATTTCCCAAGTGGCTTTGGAGTTTTAAAGCACATAAACATTGGTGGGAATCTTTGGCAGATTCCTCAAGTGGTTTGAGAGTTTTAATGCCCTAGTGCTGTGCCAATAGCTCAACAACTCCTTGTGAGACATGAAAAAGCGATGGCTACACTGGAAAGAAACAGATATGCAGGAGGAAGATTGTGTTTTTGTTGTTTTCAGCAGTTCTTCAAAAATCAAGTTCTTTTGGGCTTTCTTTTCAGGGAAGAGATGGTGGGAGTTATAGTCAAAGGAATTCCAAAGAAGAGAGATTTCCGAAATAAATCCCTGGTTCTGTTCTTACCACAAACCACTGAAGAATAAATCTGCATGTCATTCATGTTATGAATTTTTCAGACAAGCACTTGCCAATGTCATGGACTGGCCAGATGCAGAGGAATGGTGTGTGTGTGTGTTTTAACAGCACATCTTAAAACATGAAACATAACATTTCAAAATATCAGAGTAGAACATTATAGATGACAAAGACTGCAATGTTTATTTTTTTAAAAAACCATTATAATCATCATCATTCATCACAACAAAAGATCATGATAAAGTAATATACGAATATTAGAACACTGAAATTAAAGTAAGACAAAATACTCAATAAAACTCTGTACATGTGTTGTACGTGAGGTATCTTTACAAACAAGAATATTGGGGGTGGGGGTTAAGTATTTGGGAACTATCTCCACAGCAACAGATTTTATCCCTTTGGCAAAAATGCCACCCTTTTTGGAAGCAATGGCAGGAGATGAGGTAATTTTTCCCGTTCAAGGAAATTCATCACATCATTGCTTTTCAGGAGAAAATTGATTTGATCGTTTCTGTAATGATTCGAAACTATTTAAAAGTGAAGCAAGCAGGGATTTTGTATTGCCAACACCAACAAAAGCTGCTTCCTGGAGGAATCTTATGTAATGCTATGCCACTCCTGTTTCACAGTCTTAATGCACACAAAAACCCCTAAAGGCCCCAGTGAGTGGATCTATGGCTCAGTCACGTTCCCTTTTCCCAATTGCATTTAATTAGAAGCCTGCAGCTCAAGATGTGGCTGGTTGGTCCAAAATTGGTGTGTGAAATTCAGCCCACAACCATATTGTTTCTTGTTCCTCGATGCCCACCCAAAAAACAGCGACTTCAAAGTGTCTCTGGGAAAGTCAGCAGGAAACTATTTCCCCCCTCAGGGCAGGCTTTGAGAAGCCAGCTGTAGAGTGTGTGTTTTTTTTGTGCTGGGTCCTGTCAAGAGCCAGAAGAGGCCTGTTTGGGCTGAAACATGACATATATTTACAGAATAAGTTAAATTAAACTGAGGAACTCCTTGCCAATAGAAGTTTGATAAGCCTTTAGAACAGGTGTGGGGGAAATTTGGTCCTCAAGATGTGCTGAACTACCACTCCCATCATCCCTGGCCATTGACCATGCTTGCTGGGGCTGATGGGAATTATAGTTCAGCCACACTGGGAGAACCAGCTTGATTTAGAGCATGGCATTTTGTACCAACCAGTTTTCATTGATACATTGTTAATGTTTGTACTGTTGCTGTAGTATTGTTCTTATGTTGTACACCGCCTTATTATATAATTTATGAAAGTGCAGTTTATAAATATTCCAACAAACAAGGTAAATTCATATATAAATCCCCCATAACTTAAAAAAAACCAAACCCGTTTAATTTAAAAACAAGAGACTTACAGTGAATTCCAATGGTGCTTGCTCACGCAAAAAGGCTGCTCAGGAAAGGGAAAGCGAATAGCAAGGCTATTCAGGAAGCAAATGCACTCCTGAGGCCTGGCTGTGTTGGTATGGCTTTCAAGTAAACAGCTGTGCACACGCTCAGAACTATTGTCAGTGATTCTGATAGGCTAATAGGTGTACCACAGCTGCAGCCCTACTTATGAGGTAATGAGGCAGTATGTTAATCCCTGTATCCTGATTGGCTGGATTGCCATAATGACAAGAACGGGAGGGGATTTTGCAAAACAGGTAAAGTTAAGGTGCCTTGAGACAATAGTAAAATACAGTTTTTCACATGGTTTTTCTGTTTGGAGATGGATGGGAGGGATCTCCGGGCCACAGCAATATAGTTTTGGGATGGCATTTGCGGAGTGCTGCAGCAGATTGGCCAGAGACTGGAAGATACACTGAAATATCTTCAGGAATCTCTCTAAATTCAGATTAAAGGATACAGAGTAATAATAATAATAATTTTATTATTTATACCCTGTCCATCTGGCTGGGTTTGATATCCCACCCCCCACCCCCAGAAAGAATAATGGGAACTGCAGTTTAAGGATGCTAGGAATTGCAGCTTTGTGAGGGATAAACTGCAGTTTTCAGAGTACATTGGGGAAAGCCATATACTTCAAATATATGGTGTGGATGTTATCATAGTATCTGTTTAAGCCTCTGAACAGCCTTGTGTGGGTTCCAGTCTTTGTTGGAGGGTAGGTTTAAGGCATTTGTTGTTTTCTGTTGTTATATATGATCTTAATATATGATCTATGATTTTTGGGTAATGGTGGATAAAAAGGTAAAGGGACCCATGACCATTAGGTCCAGTCGTGACCGACTCTGGGGTTGCGGCGCTCATCTCCCTTTATTGGCCGAGAGAGCTGGCGTACAGCTTCCGGGTCATGTGGCCAGCATGACTAAGCCGCTTCTGGCATACCAGAGCAGCGCACGGAAAAGCCGTTTACCTTCCCGCCAGAGCGGTACCTATTTATCTACTTGCACTTTGATGTGCTTTCGAACTGCGAGGTTGGCAGGAGCAGGGACCGAGCAACGGGAGCTCACCCCGTCGCAGGGATTTGAACCGCCAACCTTCTGATCAGCAAGTCCTAGGCTCTGTGGTTTAACCCGCAGCGCCACCCGTGTCCCATAGCTCAGTGAAAATGTCAGGCCAGTGTGTGGCAGCCATTTTAAAAAAGCAAATTCCATGTTAGGAAAAAAGATTGAACATGAAGCTGCTAATATCATAATGCTGTCATGCAGCCCTATGATGGGGCTGTATTCACAGTGCAGAGTTCTGGTTGCCACATCTAAAAAAGAATATTGAAAAGGTTCCAAAAGGGGGGGGGGGCAACTAAAATGATAACAAGGCTGGACCAACTCCCCCATGAGTTACAAAATGTAGGGCTTTTAGTTGGGGAAAAGCTGGGGGGGGGGACACATGGTAAACAAATTTAATTAATTAATTATTATTATTAATAATAAAGATGTATAGCATTTTGCATGGTGTGGGGAATGTAGATAGGGAGATGTTGTTCTCTCAGAAGAACAGAACCCAGGAATATTCAATGAAGCTGCATGTTGGAAGATTCAGGGCAGACAAAAAGAAGTGCTTCACAAGATGTGGCAATGGCCTTGGATGACTTTAAAGGGGTTTAGAAAAATTATTGGAGGATAAGCATCTAGTTGTAAAATGTGAGAACTGGACGCTGGATTTAGATACATCTTTGGATAGATTCAGGAAGGGCCTTCTCACGAAACCACAGCTTACTGTTTATTCCTTCCTGTCAGCTTGAATAGCTACAAGACTCTTCTGATATCAATGAAACCAAGCGTGTATTTTTCATTGTATTTATTAGAATTTATGAAATCATATAAACTTATTAAAATATACTTTACATTTCAAAATCCAGGAAATTAAAAAGTTGCCTATAAAAAAATAAGCATCTACTACAAAACAGCAGCAGCTACAAAAACAGCTTAACAAGGTGCAATAAAGTCAATGAAAGTAGTGCAAGGGCCATCCAGCTTAGCTCCCTGATATTTTGCAAAAATAAAGATCGAATATACGGCATTCAAAAGCATTTTTACACTGGTGGTTCCTTAACGTCAGAGACACTTTTTAAAGAACCAGATTCAAGAGTTGCTGCTTTATCATGACGACTGTCTACTGGCAATATAGCAACATATTGGTATTAGGTACATCAAGCAGAACCTCCAAAAGACAAAAAAGATACACCATCTTTTCTGTGTATATTTGTATTATTAGGTCTATCTTATGTTGAACAGACCATAAACAATCTACTGTGCTGCTCATTCTGATATGTTCTCTTTGGACAAGACACCACAGGTCACTATACTGTGACTAACCCATAACACCTTGGTAATTGCGGAGGAAAACTGGAAAGAGACACAGGAATAGTACAATTCAAATCTACTTCCCCCTTTGCAAAGTATAATAGGTTAAAGATAATCCATTGGCATTTGTATGCATTAATGAAAGCTACATAGGATTAAAAATTATCACTTAAAAAGGCTGGAGAGACTTCTACAAGACTAACACAGTGCTACATATGGAGTGCACATATCAGACAGTTGAAAGCTACCCTGAACTATTTTTTATTTAGTTTGAAGTATTTTAATGCCGCCCCTCAATTAATCCCAGGGTGGCTTGAAAAAAGAAAGAAAAAGAAAACATAATTTAAAAACTAATTTCTCAGGAGCTTAGCACCATCCTAAATAGATCTTTTCTAAGTAATGCCAGTTTTGAATTAGGTCAGACATAGGCAACCTTTGGCCCTCCAGATGTTTTAGACTACAATTCGCATCATCCCTGACCACTGGTCATGTTAGCTAGGGATCATGGGAGTTGTAGGCCAAAATATCTGGAGGGCCGAAGGTTGCCTATGCCTGGATTAGGTAATTTAAGATTAGCTAGATTTCATTTCCCACAGCAACACTGGGGAAGTTGTCCCCACTCACTCCCCAGATGTTACTGGACTTCACCTCCCATTAGACCCAACAAGCACAACCAATGCCCAGGAATGATGGGAGTTGCACTCCACCAACATCTAGAGTCACAGGTTCCCCACTCACCCTAGAGAAATATTGGAAACATGTTTGCAATGGAATAATAACCATATGCCATTTAACCAATGGGAAGGGAGCTTTACAGAGGAATCCTATTCATTACTCCCTGGCTAGTGTGTACAATACTGCAGCCTCAACAGACCAGATCACTAAAGAAATGCACACCTCCGTGGGGCAAACACATTCTGACAATTGAACTGAGAACTGGTATCCCTTCATAGCTTTGTGAAAGGGGTCACCAACCTTTGAGGGCCAGTGGACACCTTTGGAATTTAGAGCAAGTACTATGGGGGCACCAGCCACAAAATGGCTGCCATGGGGATGTGACGTAACACAAAATGCCTTCCACATCAAAAAGGGCAGGAAATGAGACAAGACCACAGAATGGTGTGGTCCTGCCCATCAATGGAAAGGAAGCACCTAGGTCAGCCACTGTGGCGTTCACTCCAAGAGCTCTTTGCACCTCTCCTCTGTTCAGAACAGAAAGGAATGTGAATGCCCAAAGATGGCATCCAGTGAATACGGACCTGTTTGTAAGAGGACATGTTCAATGTAGGAGAGGCCAAAGCAGTATAAATAGGAACAACAAACAGTTTCTTATGCACTGCAGATTTTTGAAGGACCTGCTGTAGGTGCCATAGGAGGTAGCTGGGCACACTTGTGCCAGCCCAGGGCAGCACATTGATGACCCCAGGCTTATGCCACGAAACAGTCAACTTATTAGCATGATACTAAACCTCATGAGTTGTTCTGGGTAGTTATTTTATCCTTTTAGAATTTCACAATTGCTCCAATATAATCCTATTCTTATACTTCTGCAGCTTTTCTTACTTCTACTGCTGACCTTGTGTCCTTGTTGCTTTGCAGTAAGTACAGTAAGCCCACAACTTACGTGCACATTTTGCTCTATAGGGTTGGCAATAAATATTTTTTAAGGGGGGTGAAAATCCCACCTGCCATTGAACCCAATGTGTTTTGACTATACACTATTTTGGCTTTGGGCGCAATTGTGAAAAGTAATCCCTGCGTATGTTGAAGTCTCACTGAATGAACTTTATTACGGTCACAGACCAGGATTAAGAAAAGCATATAGATAAGATAGCAGTTTTATCTATTCACTGTACTATTCTTCCTGTGGGTTATTTGGTTCCCTTTTATGACTTACTTTTATGAGAATCATGAAAATATAATTAAAAGCCAAAGGGTATCTAATAATGCAGTACCAGAGATAAATCTGCACCCTGATTCTAAATAAATCAACTTAAAAGTGCCATTTGTCTAAATATAGTCAAACCTCGGTTGTTGAACGTAATCTGTTCCAGAAGCCCGTTCGGCTTCCAAAACTTTCGACAACCGAATCGCGGCTTCCAATTGGTCGCAAGAGCTTCCTGCACTCAGCAGAAGCTGTGTCAGACGTTCGGCTTCCAAAATATGTTCAAAAACTGGAACATTTTGGTGTTCGGGAGCCGAATCGTTCAAAAACGGAGCCGTTCAGGAACTGAGGTTTGACTTACTTGACTTACTTACCTATGTGCACTTACTTGGCAATTAAGTCCCACTAATTGCCAAGTCTTGAAGGTCTTGCTTCTAAATAAGCATGCATATAATTGGGTTATTCAGTTAGCAAGGACACTTTCAAATCACATAAATAGGATGAAATGCTGGGTTCATGAAATCAAAACAAATATGAAGCAAAAACCAGACCAACCCTTTGAAACAGAACAGAACAGAACCCAAACCTTATCTGAAGGGATCTATTAAACCTGAACAGGAATCTAAATTAAGCATAGAGGTTCGAGATAAGGGATCCATCCATTCATTTTTAGCGTGATAACACTCACAGGTCAACACTATCAGGCCAAAAGGAATCATGAGCATGTGAAATCTGTATTAGGAAGATTTTTACACATCTTGGGCTTGTCCTGAGATTTGTCCTCTTAAAAGATTAGGATGTTCAATAGTATAAAAGTCTAGTAATAGTATAAAAGTGTGCAAATTAAACATTACACTCTTGTATGAAGTGTTCTATTTCTACTGTACGCATACTTTAGGGAAGTGCCACTTCATAAGACTTACAGATAATGGCTGATACTTAAGCTACAATAAACGAATTTTCTGTATATCCCATGAACTGAAACAATTCCAGAGGTGTGCTGAACTGGTTTACAGAACTTTTTTTTGGGGGGGGGCGGCTTAAACTGAATCAATTTCAGCCATAATTGGGATTAAACAAAAACAGTGAGATGGATTCAAGTTACCCGTATTGCTTAAAGAGGACAACATGGACATTTTTTTTTCTTTTCTTTTTTACATGAAAATAAATCATGTCTATCCTGCCCCATGGATTTCCTGATCACCTGGAACAGGAATAGCATATTCATGCTATGAGGAGTATGAGGCTGCCATGTGCCCATGTCTCTTCCCTCCATCTCCAGGTAATATTAAGGCTGCAATCCTATGCACACTTACTTGGAAGTAAGTCCAGTAAGGCTTGTTTCCATGTGGACATGTATAGGCACACACAGTTAACCAAGACAGAAAACAGCATTGGTAACTAGATGGATAACATGTCTGAACTGATGTCAAGGCAGTTTCCTGACTCCCTATGCCTCAAGGACCCCAATCCTCAAGAAGAAGAAACATAAAAATGAAAAAATGGGGTGGTTGAGTTGGTGGGTAAAATACCCTTGACCTTCTCCCCTGGCTGGATTGAGAAGCAGGATTCAGATATGGCAGTGAACTTGCTCCTTCCTGGCCCCACTTTGGCTTGCTCTGATAGATGTAGCACTTTGCTTACCAGAGTAAGCCTCCTTGAACTCTGTGTGACTTCCATCTGCAATGCTAGCCCTATACTTCTTGTTCAGGGACTTGGGAAGCATTTAACACTACTTAGGAGGTCATGGCTCAAAAAGACAGTTGGGATGGGGGGAAAGCGATTTTGAGAACTTGGTTAGATTCATGTGAGTATTTTTCTAAGCACATGCCTTTTCCGTGCGCCGACCACAGCCCACCATGCTGCATCAAAGGAGACACCTGAGTTTTTGGAGCAAAACTTGTTTTAGAAGTCTGGCTACATAGAACAGCTGCTCATGGGAGAAGCTGAGTATTTATTTAGCATTCCAAAGTATCCTCCTCCCACAACAGGCAATGAAGGCTGGAGAGACCTTTCCCTTCTCTTTTTCTACCCTCTCAAGAAGGAGAAAGAGCTCTAGGGGAAAATAAGCAAGAACAGCTCCTTTTCGGAGGGAAGAAGTCATATCATTTTAAAACCTAGCTAGGCTCACAGTGACTGTGTCTTTGGAAAGAAGCGGTTTCTCATATTGGAAATATTTCCAGGCTCATTGGTCAGACTTCCCCGCAGTTGCAAGTGAGGAAGCCGTGCAGTGCAAGTGACTAAGCTGTTTTTTTAATAGACTAACAACAACTTTGTGCAATATTCTTACTGTACAGTCGTACTTTGGAAGTCAAACGGAATCCATTTCGGAAGTCTGTTCAACTACCAAAATGTTCGGAAACCAAAGCACGGCTTCTGATTGGCTGCAGGAAACTCCAGCAGCCAATCGGAAGCCCCGTCGAATGTTTGGCTTCCAAAAATAGTTTGCAAACCGGAACAGTCACTGCTGGGTTTGCAGTGTTTGGGAGCCAAAACGTTCGGGAACTAAGCTGTTCCAAAACCAAGGAACAACTGTATATTCAGAGAGTACTGACATGTATGACATGTTTTTATTCTGAATACTGAATATGCATTAGGAATTTTATTTATCACAATTATGTGCGCAATCAAAGTGACATCTGGTGCTCTTACTAAAATACATTCCACTTACTAAAGTTCAATGAACCAGGAAGTTCTGGGGTGACTGGATTTATGTTTCAATGAATGCTTCATGATATGCTTTTCACATTAGCTAGCTGAAAATAAGGTGCATACAGAGAAATGCTAGCCTAATCTGTTGCATATTGTACTTGGTTTTACTGATGTTTCCACCTTGACTTTTCTATAACAGAACTCTAAATGAAAATAGAAATGGGGTAGCATCCAGGTTTAGGGGTAAACTACATGAAAACAACACCATTTGTGTTTTAAAGAAAAACCGGCTCTGAGGGATGAGATTTGGAATCTCCTGAACATTGTTCTATTTTTATATCTGGTGATGAAGACACCAATGTAACTATGGATGGGAACTTGGCTTGGGTTACACCAAACAGGAAATGTTAGCAATGAACAAGCAGTGAGGAGAAAGAAAGATACAAAACACTGATCACACTGATACCATCTCTGTGGTTTAGCTGACCGTATTACACACAGACATGCTGCTCTCATAAATGCAACTCTAACACAGTCAAATGTGAGTGCAGGCAACACCTGCAGAACAAGTCTTGTTGGTTGTAAAACCCTGATTCATCCAGATTCTAGTTCATGTGAACATTTTATGATTATACATACATTTCAGACATTTTCATGTTATGTTGTACACATCCATCGCAACAACTGCAATACAATGTCATTTCATGTCTGAGCAAGGCTTGGCTTTCTGTTTTTGCACCAATACAGTGTTACCTCGGAAGTCAAACGGAATCCGTTCTGGAAGTCCATTCGACTTCCCAAATGTTCAGAAACCAAGGCGTGGCTTCCAATTGGCTTCAGAAACTTCCTGCAGCCAATTGGAAGCGGCGGAAGCCACATCGGACATTTGGGTTCCAAAAGACGTTCACAAACCAGAACACTCACTTCCGGGTTTGTGGCGTTTGGGAGCCAAAAAGTTCGAGTTGCAAGACGTTCGTCCACCAAGGTATGACTGTACCAAGAAAGATCTCTATGCAAAGACCTGCTGCCCCTGACTTCTCCACTATAGTGAATGGGATGTCTATGACAAGCCCACAAATCCAGGAAATAGATCAAGCCGCTTGTTGTTTTGTGTTGCTACAGTATGTGGACAAAGGCAAACACTGTTCCAGAATTATTATGATAGGCAAAAACCACTTATGCCAAAATGCTTGGATTTAAGTTGATAGACACATCAATCCTGAGAATGTATACTAGCATAATTTGCAATGGCACGGGGCAGTGTTGATGCATCATCAGCGTACCAGCTTATTGTGGGTCTCTGGAATGCAGTAGCTTCTGGTGCATCCCACTCTTAGTACATAGGGGCTTAAAATGTCCACGATCCTTAAATCCAAAATTCTATCAAAACTGACAAGTAGGTGCTACTTTAATTGCATAGTTAAACAGACAGACATTCAAAACATTTTGCATAGTACTGAGCATGGGTGCCATTGTCTTGCCCATTGTCTTTTCTTTTCCTTGAATAGTAGCAGCCAATATGGCCTTTGCTCCGTCTACTCAGGCACAATGTAATAATATAAAAGATATATATTGCTATAAATACATTTTTAAGATCTGCTTCACCAAAATATAGAAAAATAACTATGCCAAAGCAACAACTAGTAGAAATAACATAACAAAACGGAAACATTACCAGATTGAAACATGAACTGGGCACACCACTTCAGCCCTACCTGTGCAGGCGGAAGTCTCGCTCTTTGCCAGAGAGAAGGGGCTGGTGCCAGAGTTGGCACATGGGAGCACCATCTCCACGAAAAGGAAAGGTGATGGGGAATTATTTAAAATAAATACTCAAGTGCTTTGCTCTCTTTCAGCAGTGAAATAACACCCCCACCTGTCAAATTTCATTTCCTGTACTTTTTTTCGAGTTTTGATGCCACTTCCGAATGACAGCTCCGGAACTGCTAGCTACTACGCAAAGGGCGCCTCCGACTGTCCACCATGTAGGCAAATGATTGAGGAAAAGAATTTGGAAGATAAAAGCAAACACCACATCCATTGTTTTCATTATAGCAACAGGACCAGCTTTCTCTATCTGTAGTGCTTTTGTAAGGAATATTTGGCCACCTAGACCCAATACTCCAATTAATACCAAGAGAAATCTATCTATGCCACAGTTGGGTAAACTCCACTCACCCATTACAAAAAGTGCTATTAGGCAAACTATTAACCCAATTACTGCATAATACCAAATGGACAAAAAATAATGCACCGATTTCCCCACCTTCCTTAGTATAACAAAAGTTGACGCGGCAGCTACGGCACTTGAAACAGCTGCTATTGTTCCTTTCAGGCGATCTCTGTACTCTTCTTCTATTCCAGCAACTCTGGATCCAAATAAAAAAGGTGGTCTTGCAATAAGCACCACTCCGGTGATTGTAAACAGAGTGAAAAGAATATCCCAAGGACTATACTTCTCCTTGAGAAATATCCAGGCCAATAGTGACGTAAAAACGGGACTACTGAAAGTAATGACTGTAGCATCAGCAAGAGGCATCACTTGGAAAGCATAATAGAGAAGAATCATTGCACCAGAGCCAAGCAATCCTCGAAAGAAAAGAACGAGTCGTTTGCCTTCTGGTCCCAGAAATCCTGTTCTAAAATGAAAGAAAGAGAGGTGTGTATAATTTAACTCATGGCTTAAGGTTTCCATATTCATGCATCAACAGGACTTTGCAGTGAATTTCAGATCACAGAATGTTAAATAACATTGTGATTTTTCCAAAGCTGACACTACTAGGACTCTTTCATGTTCCAATAGTGCCCCCAACTTTGATGCATTTTGATCAAATGGTTATAAAGGCTCTTTGGCATTCTGCTCTTGGTTTGTAGCTTGCAGCCTGAGATGCAGCAGCTGGGTGACTTAATAATAATAATAAATAATAATAAATTTTATTTATATCCCGCCCTCCCCAGCCGAAGCCAGGCTCAGGGCGGCTAACAACACTAAAATAGTGCAACATTCTAAAAACATTATAAAAAATAATTAAAATCAAAGTTGATGGCAACCATAAACTAAAGTTCTGTAAAGATTGCCAAAGGAGGGAGTCAGGCTGCGCCCTAACCAAAGGCCTGGTGGAACAGCTCTGTCTTGCAGGCCCTGTGGAAAGATGTCAAGTCCTGCAGGGCCCTAGTCTCTTGTGACAGAGCGTTCCACCAGATTGGAGCCGCAGCCGAAAAAGCCCTGGCTCTAGTTGAGGCCAGCCTAACCTCTCTGTGGCCTGGGACCTTCAAGATGTTTTTATTTGAAGACCGTAAGTTCCTCTGTGGGACATACCAGGAGAGGCGGTCCCATAGGTACGAGGGTCCTAGGCCGTATAGGGCTTTGAAGGTTAAAACCAGCACCTTAAACCTGATCCTGTACTCCACCGGGAGCCAGTGCAGCTGGTATAGCACTGGATGAATGTGATCTCGCAGCGAGGACCCAGTAAGGAGTCTCGCCGCGGCATTCTGCACCCGCTGGAGTTTCTGGGTCAGTCTCAAGGGCAGCCCCACGTAGAGCGAGTTACAATAATCCAGTCTGGAGGTGACCGTCGCGTGGATAACAGTGGCTAGGTCAGGGCGAGAGAGGTAAGGAGCCAACTGCTTAGCTTGGCGAAGATGAAAAAATGCCGCCTTTGTTATAGCTGTAATCTCCGCCTCCATGGAGAGGGAGGTATCGAAGATTACACCCAAACTGTTAACGGACGGTGATGGCACTAATTGCGCCCCCGCAAGAGATGGGAGTTGTCCCCTCAATCCCATATCGTCCCATCCCAGCCAGAGGACCTCTGTCTTCGAAGGATTTAACTTCAACCGGCTCCCACGTACCCATCCAGCCACAGCTTCCAAACATCTGATCAGTGTGTCTGGGGCCGAGTCAGGATGGCCATCCATCAACAGATAGAGCTGGGTGTCATCAGCATACTGATGGCAGCCCAGCCCAAAACTCCAGACAAGCTGGGCGAGGGGGCGCATAAAGATGTTAAAAAGCATCGGGGAGAGTATTGCACCCTGAGGCACTCCACACACCAAGGAGTGGTGCAATGACAATTCCCCCCCAAGCGCCACCCTCTGTCCCCGACCAGAGAGAAACGAGCGCAGCCATTGAAGGACTGTGCCCTGGATCCCCACGTCGGCAAGGAGTTCGTGATCGACCATGTCGAAGGCTGCTGACAGATCTAGAAGAATCAGCAGCCCCGACCCGCCTCGATCCAGCTGCCTGCGGAGATCATCTGTTAGGGCAACCAGAGCCGTCTCGGTCCCATGACCAGCACGGAAGCCGGACTGGAAATGGATCCAGAGCCTATGTTTCATCCAGAAACCCACCAAGCTGTTCAGCAACCGCTCTCTCAATCACCTTACCCAGGAATGGAAGATTCGAAACCGGGCGGTAATTGGATAGATCTAAGGGATCTAATGATGTTTTCTTTAAGAGTGGGCGCACCACTGCCTCCTTCAGTTCCCCTGGGAATGTCCTGATGCCAAGGGACAAATTGATGATATCCCCCAGGGGGGCCCGCACCTCATCTGGACACGCTCTAATCAGCCAAGACGGGCACGGGTCGAGAGGACAGGTGGTGGGCTTTCCAGCTCGGAGGAGTCTGTCCACATCGGCTGGGGATATCCGGTCAAAGTGGTCCAATACTGGACCCGAAGACAGTCGAGGGGCCTCCAGTTCCTTTATTGTATCCAAACTGGCAGGGAGGTCATGGTGGAGCAACAGGACCTTCTGCGCAAAAAGCTCGCAAATGCCTCACAGCTGTGTGTCGAATTGTTATTTAAATTTGGCTGTCCCTCGAGGGACATTAAAAACCTAATTATACTAAATAATTGCACCGGGCGAGAGCTAGCGGATGCAATGGAGGCCGAGAAGTAAGACTTCTTAGCGGCCTTCACTGCCATCTCGTAGGTTTTCATAAAAACCCTATAAGACTTGAGGAACAACTTTTTATTTCCAGGACACATGGAGACCAGCCAGCCAGCATGTGAAAGGGCACCAGCAGACATCAGGGAAGGTTGTTATCAAAGGCTCCTTTGGGTCATTTTGTTGGGTGGCAGGAAGACTATGAATTTTAAGCTTGTAGTTGCATGGGGCAGCGTGTTGGGCTTTTCATTTTTGGAGCAACTATCAGTATTCTAAGTATTCCTATTTTTATTATACTTTTTAGAATGTTTTTGGCAGTTTCCATGGTCTTCAACTAGTCCAGACCCAAGACTCACCTCTGACTTCTAACCTGTACCATGGGACCCACTTTCACATACAGTATTCACTTTTGACTTATACTAATAGTGCTAAAAAGGCACATTATTAATCCTAAAAATGGCAATTCAAAGAGCAATATACATAGTGCTACCTTAGCATTATAACTATATGAAAACCAGTGATTTTTACACTTGTTCTGAGCCAAAAGGCTGAGAAGCTATTGAAAACCAGTGGGTTGTTTTTTTTAAAGACTCACAATTTCAGTGAAGCACCTGGGCATGTTTGTTTTTCCAGATATCATGATAATAGATATTCCAGTGACTCTACAGTGGATGACAACTGTATTCACTGTACACCCTCACGCCCTTAAAATCTGCTTATTAGCTTGTTTTCTGGTGAACTATAAAAGCGAAGACTGCTGTGCTGAGCTCTACGTTTGTGTGTTGTAGGCTAGATTTTAGGGTATTTGAGGGAATCACTGCGGTTTCTGTTCTGGAGAACTGAAGACACTTCTGCATTGTAATCACTGCAACAGACACTTCTGCATTCTGGTCCCCAGTAAACATCGATTGTGCAAGGTCTAGAAAGCCACAGGAATAGATCGGAACAGGGCATAGCTACAGGAAGGCGGGGCATACATTTGGCTAGAAATATCTTTCTCTTGCCTTTCTCCTGCCACTTGGCAGCACTCATTGAAATTGATAAAATGAGTGTCCCATCATAATGATGTGTTCTAGCCCAAACACTGCATGCAGTGCTCTTTTGGTTTGGTCAGCCATAGCTGGAGTCCAAAATGGCAGAAGCAGCATTGCAACCCACAGATTGAAGACCTACCTGCTTGCCTTGAATCCCTGAATAATTAGAATGGGGGGTGGTGGTGAGAGCAGCCTTAGTTATTTTTGTTTGCATAAGCATTTCTCATAATCTCTTCAGGCCTCTAGCCTCACAGAGTGTGGGAGAAAAGGTTGGTGAGCTCCTTAGTCTTCCGCCCAGGGAAGGCCTTTCTCTGCCCCTCCTTATTTTGTTTCCCTTGCTGATTTATGGCATTTTGTTGAATTCTTACTGTACACTTGGTCCAAAAAGCGGTATACAGTTGTACCTCAGCTCCCGAACACCTTGGAAGTCAAATGTTCCGGCTCCTGAACAAACTGAAAACCGGGAGTGTTCCAGTTTTCGAACATTCTTTTGGAAGCCGAACGGCGGAAGGGGCTTTTGTGGCTTCTGATTGGCTGCAGGAGCCAATCAGAAGCTGTGCTTTGGGTTCCGAACGTTTCAGAAGTCAAACAGACTTCCAGAACAGATTACGTTCGACTTCCGTGGTTTGACTGTATAAATAAATGGCAATAATAATAATAATAATAATAAATAATCCAAAGTGCATTTTTTCTTAGCCTTGCCTCATACAAAGGAGGCATAATACTCACCTGTAGTATATTAAACCAGGAAGGACAAATGTCATTTGGAAAACACATCTAATGGCACTGACTTCCACTGAGTGCACACCTTCAATTTTCTTGAGGAATAAAGATGCCACAGAGAAGAGAAAGGCAGACAGCAGCGTATAGAACAGGCCAAGCCCTGGACAGGTCCTTTTCCCCTTTATTCCTGGAACAAAACCGTTTCCAGTTAGCAATTAACAATTTAGCTGTAATTTCTTCAACTGAATTTGAAACGGTTCTTTAAAAAAAAAAGTCTACTTTGAGGAGGGAAAGAAACAAAAGAAATACATTTAGTGCAATTGAAGGTATACGGTTGGCTTTTTTTAAAAAAAATAGTTAACAGCAATTTTTGACATGATGGTATAGACTGTAATTTTACTCTTACAAAAATGTCTATGTTTATCTGCATGTTGCATTTTTTCAACTCTTTTTTTTTAAAAAAAGTAGTCTCAGAGTGGGATGTATAAATCCATGCACCATGTTTGCAAAATAGGTCCATTTGCCACATTCATTACATAGACCAACCAACCATTCTGATAAATTTTGGCATCAAGAAATATTAACCTGCATTCCCGAGGCTATATGAACGAAAATTACCGCAGGCTCAAGCATCTATCCCAGTGTTTTCCCAAGCATTGTTGGGTAATACTTAAGAAACCAACTTTACATCTTATTTGTATTAGGAAAAATCTTGAGTTTTTAAAGCAAATGTAAAATATTAGTTTTCTTATTTAACTGTAATGAATAAAGATATAACTTACACCCACTAAATATGGTTATTTCTACTTGTTTCATTATATATACAGTGTGATACCCTATTATTTTACAATGAGCTGGCTACTTAAAAGAAGTTATCCTGTTGTGCAAATATCTTAACTCCAGTATCCCAATAATATGAACATAACTCTGGGTAGAGGTGGTAGAATGCCATCGGAGTTTCTTTCCCACAACATATTTACACCCAAAACAAATATAATGCTGGTGGGTGTGTGTGTGTGTGTGTGTGTGTGTGTGTGTAAGAACCTTGAATCCTGGAACTGTTAGCTGTGTAGGGATACCATCTAAGAAGATTAGAGAGGCAACAGAGTCATCTTCAGAAGAAAGCAGTGGTTTGGCAGGGCATTTCTGTCGGTTGCTAAGCAACTTGGAATCACAACCTGGAAGCTGATAAGCAACCTGGAAGCTGAGAATCAATGTTTTCTAACATTCAGCTGCTGTGAATCCAAGGTGACAGAATATACAGAGACATGCTTTGGCTGCCTTGGTCCCAGGATTTCAACTGCTAAAGTCAACTTTTGAGCAGCAGCTGTCTCTCTGTTTTGAAAGGGCTGAAATCTCCAAGCGCTGGACACACTGAGGTTAGGCTTAATGTGAGAGTGTACTTGGTATGAGGAGTAGTTACAGGTAGGTAGCCATGTTGGTCTGCCGTAGTCGAAACAAAATAAAAAAATTCTTTGCAGTAGCACCTTAGAGACCATCTAAAAGCTCATACCCAGGCTTCCTCGGCCCTCCAGATGTTTTGAGACAACAATTCCCATCGTCCCTGAACACTGGTCCTGCTAGCTTAGGATCATGGGAATTGTAGGCCAAAAACATCTGGAAGGCCGAGTTTGAGGAAGCCTGCTCATACCAATAACAAACTTAGTTGGTCTCTAAGGTGCTACTGGAAAGTATTTTTTTATTTAGTATGAGGAGTTGGACATGGATTTTACCATGGTTAAGTCGACAGGGTCCTTTTACCAGCCTGCCTGCATGAAGGTGCAAACAACTCTCTTCTCGATAAAATCAATTCCTGGAAATAAAATCTGAGCACTTCTACTCTTAGTCGATCCAAATCTAAAAGTCAGCTGGTTAAGTTTCCCACTTAACACAACACTTTCCTCGTTTTGCCCTAAAATAGAAATCTACTTATGGAATTATCTGGAGGCATTCCGTGGAGCAAAAGGGGAGAAATTTGGTTCAATTTGCATCTAAAGGCAAATTGTATCAAATTCGCACTTCCTAAAACAATGAAAGAATCAAAACATTGGCATCCTCCAAAATTCACGCTCATCCAGAATTTGCTGTGTAGTTCTCCAACCAAAGAACGCTTATGCATATATTAGGGGGGAAAGTGTGCATACAAATAAATATATTAGTGAAAATATCATGCAAAAATTCATTACATTAGGAGAAATTGATTGCAAAAATGTGCTCACTAGTCAAAACTGCACATAAAAATGTGTCAGGAAAAATTCACACTAAAATGCTGAAGAATTTTCAAGAGGATTTTAAAAAAGAATTTTCACAAATTGCTATAGAAATGTGGAGAACTGAGAGAACTGAAACCAACAATCCTTCCATCCTTATGCACAATGGGTCTGTTGTGGCCAAGTCTCCAGAAAGCTTTAGCATCACTTCTGAGTAAACTGGAATTTTAAATATGCTTTAGTACAGCCTTCACCAACCTAGTGTCCTCCAGATGTTTTGGACTACAACTCCCATCAACACAACTGACTGCGGCTGATGGGAGTTGTAGTCCAAAGCATCTCAAGGGCACCAGGTAGGTGAAGACTGCTTTAGTATGTAAGAATATAGGAAGAGTTATGCCATAACAGACCCATTGCGCATAAGGATGGAAGGATAAGCGCATAAGGATGGAAGATTACAACAATGGATCATGTAGCAACAGGATGTAAAAAGGATCCAACCAAGCTATTTTAAAAAATCAACTGAAATCAATACAGATAGCTTGGGGTTCATCCTATGACATAGCATATTCTCATCTTGCGAAATCCACCATCTCCTCTCGCAATTTCCCTATCTCAGATTCTCTTCCTATTTTCCTAATTATCTCGAAAACCCCTTTCATTTTCTAGCCCTTTTTCTTCCTGTTTATCTGTGGAGATGTCCTCCTTCACCTCCATATATTCCTAAACGCCAGTTCTAGCTCATGTTCAGAACTTTCCCTTTGTTTTCAGTCTACTCCAAAATTCCAGACTGCCACGGGCAAACTTGGCACAACGTATAGGTTCTTCACAACACATTTGTCTTCAAAATCCCCAGAAGTTCTTAATATGGCGATTTAATGTGACCACATACTGTTGTGGTGGAAAGGCAACCAATAAATGAAATGAAATGAAAGTTACATCTACATGTATGCTTTCACAGCATTTTACTGGCTTTCTATCAGACCAGTACTTGAAGCACCTGGGCAGTAGTGAGTAAGAAAGAACACCTGGGCTTCTAATTTGTGCATAATCTTATGCATGTCTATTCAGATCTAAATCCCACTGAGCTGAATGGCCCTTACTCCCATGCAAGTGTGTAATAAGACTGCAGCCTTAATACAGGAGAATCCCCAGTTATGTGAGGGTTCTGTTCCTGGCCGCCGCATGGATCACTGGGATATGTATAAGCGAGGATTCCCCCGTTCTGCCCCTACCCAACCCTCTTTCGGCACTGCAAATGGTGCGTGTGCTGACTGTGCACAAGTGGGGAGACACCTGTACAGGAAGAGGCAAAATCTGAAGAACACATTTAGGGAGGGGGGTTGGTTTCAAAATATCATCTATGGCAGGTATATAAGCAAACAATGAACTAAACAGGGCTGCCCACTCTCTTTCAGAAAAGCTCCAGAGCAGGGGCCTCTGTGACATATTGGAACAGAAAAGAATAGATTTCAAAGGATGCTAAATCTCAAGGCATATTACTGCTTGAGGTAAAGCACACACATCTGTTTAATCATAATGGGTTTTAATCTAAAGTGTTATTAGAAGAACAAACGTGCCATTCTCTCTCTGAACCTACAGTGTAGCTGTTGGCAGAGCTTCACAACATTAGCCAATACAGACCCATATAGATTTGATCCCTTAATTACATTATTGCCCCAATTTGCTCTTCTTGTCCAATACAGACCCACATTAATGGAAATTTTTGTCTGAAATACTGGATTAAAATAAGGAGACTCAGAATGGACTGAAGCTGAAGAAGGAAAAAAAGCCATGCTGATCTACAGAGTGAAGAATAAGAACAAAATATCAAGTTTCGGTGTAGTAGTCTACTTTGATTGCCTAAAAGATAAAAGTGTCAGAGTTCTGCACAGACATCGTATATGACACTAATTCTCTGAAGTTGTTGCTGTATAAAAGGATCTTTAGGGATGCTGGAAAAGCGAACCTCTGCATTATTAACAAAACACCAAACTTTCATATTATAAAGGGAAGGTATCATAGTCAATTGTACTTCCTTTCTCTCTCTCTCTCTCTTTTTTTTTAAAAAAGCTGGGCTGGTATTCCAGACTAGCAAAGCAAACACTGTAGAAACGAATGACCTTCTTACTGCAATTAAAAAGAAAGAAAAATATTATAGGTTTTAGAAGCATCTGTCCTTTCAATGTAAACTTTAAGAATGGAATAAGATAACATTCCTCTCTTCTTCAAGCACTATCCTTCGTCACACAATGGCTCTCTTGGGGAATGGCCCCAACTCAATGGCAGAGCACATATCTTGCATGCAAAGGTGCCTTTAGGTAGATCTGGGAAATATGCCTGCTGAAACCCTGGGGAAATGCTGCCAGTCAGTGTCAACAATACTGAGCTAGATGGATCAATGGTCTGACTTTGTATAAAGCAGCTTCCCATGCCCCTATGTTCTCAAAGCACAGTAGGTTTCCATTCAGCACTGACAAACAGCGACAAAAAGGTGTTCCGTGCCAAAGCACAGCAAACAGTGGCACCCACAATTTCTCTGCTGGGTATATAAAGTTTTAAGAAACAGTGTTATTCTTTCAGTATTCCATTTGCCTAATGCTGTTTTATGGCTAGCTCCGCTCTCAAGAGAAGGATTAAAATGGAGAACTGAAATTACAATAAATAGGTATTCTATATGGAGGAGCATTCAACCACACGAATCCTCATCCACCTGCAGTTTGAAGTGGCACAATCCAGACAAAGGTTTACAACATCCAAAATAAGTAGGTCCCCAAAATGGAATTATCCTACAACCTACTCAACAGCTTCCAGAATGTAGCAAAGCCCATACTGGATCAGGCCAGTGGCCCATTTAGTCCAGCATCCTGTTGTCACAGTGGCCAACCTGATGCCTATGGGAAACCTGTAAGTGGGACCTAAACACAACAGCACTCTCCTCTCCTGCAGTTTCCAGCAACTGGTATTCAAAAACATTGCCTCCAACTATGGAAAAAAGAGTATAGCCATCCTGACTTATAGTCACTGATAGCCTTTACCTCCCTGAATTTGTCTAATCCTTTACATTATTGACAGGCGCTTCAAAACACTGTGTGCGAGACCAGTGTCTCTGACTATCACAGGAACTTACCACTAGAAATGCAAAATAATATTAAAGACTCTCTTGATTAGGAAAAGTGGTTGTGGCGGCAACAGGAGGAAAACAAAATAGTTCATGTGTTATCTACATCTCTGGACAATCCTTTGCTTTGTAACATCTCGCCAACTCATATAAACTTGGAATAAAACTTCTACATAGCAGATTTCTCCGCAAGCTTAATCCTACACACTATGATTGCTCTTGCTGAAAGCACTGTTACTAGCAGCTCACAAAATGCTAGGTTGACAAATCACCACTCTTTAAAACAAAAATGGTTATGTTCTGAGTGCCTCCCTTATGGCTCCAAGGGGTAGATGATTTTATAATTAAATATTAACATAGCTTTTCAATGTATGATTAAAATAAACAATATTAGATGGCTTTTCCATTGCCAGCCTGATTAAACATGGTAGTTACAGATGTTGATGTAATTATTGTGTACGTTAGCAAGAGAGTGTGCAAGTACAAATTATGCTGTAGAACAAAATGTCCTTTGTCGCAGAATATATTTCATACTACAGTACTTCAGATCAAGAGAGAAAGACGCATAGTTTAGTTATTCCTTTACAAAATATAACAACCCTTGTGTTTTCATACACAAGCTACACACCTTCCTATATACATAAAAAGTCAGGCTATCTACACACGCACCCCACTTTGATGGATTTGTTGTACCCCATCACAACCCTGGATTTACATGAAGTCAGGGTGCAGTAGGGGAGCTAAAGAGAAGGCAGGTTGCACAACAGCAGTGGCCATGGCATGGGAGAGAGAAGAGAGGGATACTGAGAGGGGGGAATTGGTGATTTCAAATAGTGGCAGAAGTCAAAGTAAAGCAGGGATGGAAGGAAGCGGGAAATTGTGGTTTTAAACAACAGCAGAAGTTTGATTGAAGTACCTTCATACAATGGAATATGTGAGGGTTCCGCATCCTTTATCTCTCTCACATGAGGCAGCTGAGGAATGGAAGAAGGAGAAGTCTAAGTACAGCGAGAAGGGAGAAATGGGGTTGGGAAGGTGAAAAGCAAGTTTGTCCTTGCACGGGGAAGGGGAAGTTCTCTCTTAAAGTGTGGGGGAATAATAATAATAATAATAATAATAATAGTATTTATACCCCTCCCTCCCCGGCCAGAACTGGGCTCAGGGCAGCTAACACCAAATATATAATACATTAAAACACAAAATGCAATTCCCCAATTCCTTACTCGATATCATACACATCGATTTTTACACATAAGCACAGGATTTTAAAAATTGGAAGAAAAGTAAAGCTTATTAAGGAATAGATAAGCTGTGCTAAGTGCTCTTAGGAGGGCAAAGGTGTTAGAGACCAGCGATGGGAAAGGTTTCTCTTTACCTTTTCAACTTGCCACCATGATGTGTTCGGTAAAGGCACTAACCTGCCTTGACAGGGCGCTGGGAAATTCTAGGTTAAGCCCATGCACCCTAACTCTTAAAAGTTTTAAAACAAAGGTGAAACGGAATCCCTAAAAATGCACTTTTTTTTCTTTCTTTTTTTAAAGAGAGCCGCACGTGCATGGCGCTTTATATAAACAGAACCACAGATCAAAGAACCGAGGAGGGCCCAGAGAGAACAAGAATTGTTGTTGTTGTTGCTGTTGTGACTACCTTAAGCGGATGTATTCAGGGTTGGCAAGGATTCGGGCAGAGCCTAAAAGGCGCAGCTCGCGGGCACCTCGCGTGGAGAGAGGCAAGATGCAGCCGGCCTTGCCACGAGGCCAAGCGGCGAGGGAGCGCCGGCTCACCCTAGGGCGCACCAGGGCACTGAGACGCCCGCCGGTCTGAGCCTCCGCCCGAGGCCGAGAAGAGGCGCGCAAGGCGCGCGGCGTTGCGCCTCCTCGCCCTGCCTGCTGCCGGCTCGCCACCCTCCTCTCTCCCCGCCCCGCGTGCCCTCCCGCCTGCCCTCACCCACCGGGCGTCCCGCGTCTCCAAGGGAAACTTCCTCGGAAGCAGCCGCCGTCGCCGAGGCTGGCAGCGCCCGCTGCCGCTTCCAGGTCGTGCACCTGGCAGAGCCCGCCATCCTCGCCGTTCCTGTCGTGGCCCCCGGGAGGACGGGGGTCTTCTGCCTCCCACCGCTCTCCTCCTCCGCCGGCGGCGGCATCCTCCTCGCCGCCCTGGCGCTGCACCATGAGGACCGCTCCTCCGGCTCCGGCTTTGCCACAAACTGCGAGGAGCCGGCAACTTCGGTGCGCGTGCGCGGCATGCCGGCCGTGACACCGCCCCCCGCCTGCTTGCCTGCTTGCCTGCCTGCCTGCCTGCCTGCTCTGCGCCGGCCGGGCGGCCTGCTTCCCCGCCGAGGGGGATGTTTACATGTCCCGGCGTGAACTGCTGCGACCTCCGCGGGGAAGGTGGCAGCCGCGAAGGCTCCGTCAGGCCGCGGCGCGAAGCCCCCTCTGCCCCATTTCCCCCACTCTACCGAGAGCCGCGCGATAAATACAGCTCTTCCCGAGCGTCCCCTCAAATAATATTTTGGTGGAGGGAGAAACTCATGCCAGAAATCATGTGTTGAGGTTGTTCCTGGATTACCGAAATATTCCTTCGTGTGGTTAGCCAAGAGAAGCTAGGCTTCCTGCGGTTTAAGTCTCGCTTCTGCCCTTATCTCAGTAGGTGACCTTAGGCAAGCCACCTCAGTCCTCTTAAGACCTCCAGGTATAGGACGGAATATAAATTCAATAAATAAATAAAATAAAATAAGTAATGAGATACATACTAATAGCCAACTTGCTTTAAAAAGAATTGTACAGAAGTATGAAATAACGTGCGAAGCGCTTGAAGACCATGTGTGGTGTGCATGTATATGTTGTTGTTATTATTATTTAAAGTATTTGTTCCCGGGAAGCAATGGGTGGGTTATTTGCATTTGCTACAGCTCCAGCTGAAAATAGTACTTTTAGGCATGTGCCTGAAGGGAAGGGCTTGAGCACTGCCAGATTTACGTATAAGCTAAACAAGCTATAGTTTAGGGCCCCACTCTCTTGGGGGGCCCCAAAAAAATTAAAGGAAAAAAACCCTGGATGCACATTTCCAAAATATAAGATTAAATTAAAATAAAATAAAATAAAACCTACATACAGCAACAGTGGCAAATGGCTTTAGATACCTATTAGGTCCATAAATTACCATATAACATATATTCAACACAAAAAACAGTGACAATTTGTTGTTGACAAAGGGCGGGTGGTCATATAAAGGGCCCCATTACCTTCAGGAGTTTAGGGACTCATCTGGCCCTGGGCTTGAGCATGCTCAGTGATGCATTTTGAAAAGCAGACCACCACCTCCCTCCAAGTATAAGCCATTTTTCAAACTCTTCAAACTGCCGGTTCTCACAATACAGTGGTACCTCTGGATACGAACAGGATCCTTTCCGGAGCCCCGTTCGCATCTAGAAGCAAACGTAACTAGCGACGGCACATCTGCGCACGCACATGTCGCTTTTGGTCGCTTCTGCACATGCGCGTGGCGTCATTTTGAGCGTCTGTGCATGCGCAAGCGGTGAAAACCCGGAAGTAACGCGCTCCGTTACTTCTGGGTTGCCGCGGAGCTCAACTCGAACGCACTCAACCCGAAGCGCATTCAACCCGAGGTATGACTGTACGGGCCTTGGAACTGTTTCTGGCCAGCCTTGGTTTTATGCAGCAGCTCTATCAGGAAAGCTGCTCAGCCAAGCCTGGCTGTCATCAGAAATATGCAGTAATAGTAACGGGGGGATCCATAGGAAGCGACCACCTCTTAGAAGTGCTTGTATTCTTGTCCAGTCCCTGCGTTTTGGCACATTTTAAAGATTTGTTGTGGAACAGCCAAGTATGTAGCTGATCTTTGGGAAGTTAGCTCTTGAGCATGGGTAGGCAAATCTGGCCCAATCACCTTCTCAATCCGGCCCACGAACAGTCCGGGAATCAGCGTGTTTTTACATGAGTTGAATGTGTCCATTTATTTAAAATGCATCTCTGTGTTATTTGTGGGGCATAGGAATTAGTTCATTATTATTATTTTCTGTTATGTATTGAAGTTCTCACCCTGGGCCAGCAGGGGGATACTGTAGATAGCTATGCAAATGAAGGATCGAAAGTGACGTTTAGTGATTGGATAGTTTTGTATGCAAATGAAGGATCGAAAAGTGACGTTCAGTGATTGGATAGTTTTAGAACGTTGCAACAGTTACAATTGTTCTGTAGCTCTATATAAGCAGGCTGGCTGAGCTCCTCAGTTCAGTTCTGTCTGACATCTGAATAAAGAAGAACTGTTTGAAGAATTGCTGTGTCATCTGCTATGTTCGCCCACAACTTAACATTTTCAAAATATAGTCTGCCCCCCTGCAAGTTCTGAGGGACAGTGGACCGGCCCCCTGCTGAAAAAGTTTGCTGACCCCTGCTCTTGAGGTTTGCAACTCAGGGACAGGGGCGTACCTAAGGGTTAGCTAGTCTGGCCACTGCCAAGGAAAGAGGTCCTGAGGAGCACAGAAGTCACACTCCTCCACTCTGGTTTTGAGTGGCTAGGATCCCACCTGCCCATTTGCGAGCTCCCCAAGCCACTCCTCTACTGCACTGGGCAGCCAGGCTCCTCTGTGCACCTCAACAGAGGAATCCAGTCATGTAAGGGACGGGTGTGTGTGTGTGTGTGTGTGCTGATATAGCTCCTTGCACAGGGATGGAAACCCAAATGGGAAATTATAAAATGTTAGGTGCACTAATCCAATTACTGAGGAAACAAAAGTTCCTGTGGGAGGCAATCAGCTATTTCCCAGTACTTTATTGTGCTGTTTGCTAAACAGCAGGTCTGATTGCTCAGTATTATGGGTATACATAAAAACTAGTTGTATTATTTATGCAGTTTAAGCAGAGCCGGTTTTAGATGAAGAGAGGCCCTAGGCTACTCCACTGGTGAGGCCCCTCCCCATCCCCCACCCTCACAACTAGAAGAAAATGGAAGAGTATTATAAACAAAATCGAGTGAAGCCAAGGATGATAATGGGTATTTAAAATTCTGCAATTCACAATTTCTCTTCTAAAGGACATAAGATATTATTGTTAAATACCATGGTGTTTTTTAATAATAATAATAATAATAATAATAATAATAATATCTTTATTGTCATTGCCCCCTTCGGGGACAACGAAATTACTTGACTGCTCCATAAAAACACTAATTAATCAATACAATATAATACAGCAAAATTGAATAAAATTAACACTGAAAAACTTTTGCCTATGGCCTGGGCAGGCCTGGTCGTCCTCTTATATACCTGCTGGGATTGAGAAGGCATCTGACCCTCCCCTTAATCTCATAGCTCTCCTGTAGCTGCCTCTGATTGGTTATCATTTAACTCTCACAGGAAATAATTAGCATCACACATCATGTGCATGGAAGTGGCCGAACCAATTAACCAACTAGAAGGATTACTGTTAATAGCTCCAGTTTTCCTATACTGGTAACTTGATATTGCTGAATATGGGCAGGCCTATGGCCTGGGCAGGCCATTGTGTGTATATTTCAGCAGTTGAACGTATAAGTTTATGGCCATGCTGTAGTGTAGTGCTTATGCGACTGTGAATAAAAGCTGGCTGGCTTCATTGTCTTGGGGTTTGGGGGGGAAGAGGTGGCAAAACTGATTTCCAATAAGTGCCCCCCCTTTATTTCCATAAGAAGTCCTTGAGTCTGTACTCTGAACAGTGACACCAGAGACCTAGAAGGTGCAGGGCTTGTCAGTCCAACCCCTGCACAGTCTTATTTTAATTGCTTATATGTCAGCGGCTCCAGGAGCCTTTTTGGCTGGAGAGTGGAAAACGAATGCTCTACTAAATAAGCCATGGGTTGCCCCCTCATTTTAAAAACAAAGCAACAGTACAATTTCAACTAGCTGAATAGTGTTACCTACACCCCTCAGTGGTGAGAGGTTTCAGGGGTCCCCACACATACCTTAGGTTTGGGTTTCTTGGAATAATGGTTATTGGAAACTTCTGTCATTTGTGTGATTTAAGACTTATTTACACATGCATACATTGAGCATAATACAAAAGGCTTGCAGCATTAACACTTCAACATATCATGTTCTCGTATTTAGCTTTGCAGGTGGGCCCAGGTTCAAGAAAGACCCAAAAAGCAGGTTAGCTTTCCTTCTCCCCCTGCCCAGGCAGAGAACCAAAAGATGGGCAATCCTCCACCTTCTTGCTCATTCAGGAAGGTGAGCTGATAACAAAAGAGCATGCACAAGTAAAGAACTTGCCAGGCCAGTTCCTATACCTTTGCTAATCCTCTAATCTGTTTTTTATAGTCCACGGAGGGTGTCCTTGAGAATTTTTTCAAACTACCCCCACAAACACATTACAATAGTCTTCCACTATTCCAGTCAATTCCAACCTGTTACCTCCGAGGATGTGGACAGGCTGCTTGGACGAGTGAAGCCAATCACCTGTCTCCTGGATCCTTGCCCATCCTGGCTTATAAAAGCTAGCCGGGAAGGACTGGGCGATGGGCTTCGTGGGGTGGTGAATGCTTCCCTCCGTGAGGGAGCCTTCCCAGACCCGCTGAAAGAGGCGGTTATTAAACCGCTTCTTAAAAAACCATCTTTAGATGCGGCCACGATGGCCAATTATCGCCCAGTCTCAAATCTTCCATTTCTTGGGCAACGTGATTGAGCGAGTGGTTGCTGAACAACTCCAGGCACGCCTGGAAGAAGCGGACAATTTGGATCCCTTCCAGTCGGGATTCAGGCCTCATCATGGGACTGAAACTGCCTTGGTTGCACTGGTTGATGATCTCCGGCGGGCTAGGGACAAAGGTGAGAGCTGTTTCCTAGTTCTGCTGGATCTCTCAGCGGCGTTTGATACCATCGACCATAACATCCTTCTGGACCGTCTTGAGGGGCTGGGAGCTGGGGGCACTGTCATACAGTGGTTCCGCTCCTTCCTCCTGGGCCGTGTTCAGAAAGTGGTGGTGGGGATGAGTGTTCAGACCCCTGGGCTCTCACTTGTGGGGTGCCTCAGGGTTCTGTCCTCTCCCCCATGCTTTTCAACATTTACATGCAGCCACTGGGAGAGATCATCAGGAGGTTTGGGCTGGGTGTTCATCAGTATGTGGATGATACCCAACTCTACCTCTCTTTTAAATCAGAACCAGTGAAGGTGGTGAAGGTCCTGTGTGAGTGTCTGGAGGCGGTTGGAGGATGGATGGCGGCTAACAGATTGAGGTTGAATCCTGACAAGACAGAAGTACTGTTTTGGGGGGACAGGAGGCGGGCAGGTGTGGAGGATTCCCTGGTCCTGAATGGGGTAACTGTGCCCCTGAAGGACCAGGTGCGCAGCCTGGGAGTCATTTTGGACTCACAGCTGTCCATGGAGGCATAGGTCAAATCTGTATCCAGGGCAGCTGTTTACCAGCTCCATCTGGTACGTAGGCTGAGACCCTATCTGCCTGCAGACTGCCTCGCCAGAGTGGTGCATGCTCTGGTTATCTCCCGCTTGGACTACTGCAATGCGCTCTACGTGGGGCTACCTTTGAAGGTGACCCGGAAACTACAACTAATTCAGAATGCGGCAGCTAGACTGGTGACTGGGAGCGGCCGCCGAGACCATATAACACCGGTCTTGAAAGACCTACATTGGCTCCCAGTACATTTCCGAGCACAATTCAAAGTGTTGGTGCTGACCTTTAAAGCCCTAAACGGCCTCGGTCCAGTATATTGGAAGGAGCGTCTCCACCCCCATTGTTCTGCCCGGACACTGAGGTCCAGCTCCGAGGGCCTTCTGGCGGTTCCCTCACTGCGAGAGGCCAAGTTACAGGGAACCAGGCAGAGGGCCTTCTCGGTAGTGGCGCCTGCCCTGTGGAACGCCCTCCCATCAGATGTCAAAGCGATAAACAACTACCTGACATTCAGAAGACATCTGAAGGCAGCCCTGTTCAGGGAAGTTTTTAATATGTGACATTTTAGTGTATTTTTCATCTTTGTTGGAAGCCGCCCAGAGTGGCTGGGGAAGCCCAGCCAGATGGGCGGGGTACAAATAATAAATTATTATTATTATTATTATTATTATTATTATTATTATTCCACTTCCTAGGGAAGTCTGAGATGATAACTATGAGAGGGGACTAGGGATTATTAACAGAGTATTCTCAACACTCTCATCAAATTACAGGATTCTTTGGGGCAGGAGGAATGCCATGAGAGGAAAACTGGTTTAAAACTGATGGAAATTTGTATTTTTGGTAGATGTTACTCCCATCTACATGTTTGTTGACAAACTCAGGGGAATTGAAATGTTTAATGAAGCAGGACACCCCTCAGGAGAAATTGTGCTGATTTTTTGGGCAGCAAGGCATATTTGTTTAATAATTCTGTTTTAATAATGTTGCCTCAAAACTATCCAAGGACATACATTAGGTATTTATAATTTCATGCACTGCCCTCTAGATCACTTTTAAAGAAAGGGTATTACATTAGTAGGGTTGCTGTATTCCAGTTCCCCAAACCCAGGCAGCCTAAAGTTGCATATTCATTGTAAACTTTCAACACAAAATAAGACATGAGTTAGAAAGCACATGTATTCCTATCTTTGATGCTATGTTGATTTTTTTTGTTTTTGTTCTTGAAAAGGGGGCATACTGCTGCCTAATCACACTCTAAAATACTAGATCTCTTATTTTTAAGGGTAGATATCCCTTTTGCTCTGACAAAGAGAGAGAAATAGTTTCAAAAGAAACCAGAAAGTTCTACCACACGATCGATTTGTGGCTCATATATTTCCTAATGATATCTCTGCTTCCCTTTTATTTTATTTCTGTTTCCGTATTTATTTTATTTACATACCACCCAACTGTGAGGGTAGTGGGGAGGGGGCTATTGGTCCCCCCCCCCATTTTTATTGTGTATATTGTGTTTTTATCTTGCATTTTTATGCTGTGAACTGTCCTGAGATCTTCAGATAAAGGGTGGTATACAATTTTTTCTCAAAGAATACCAAGCACAGTAGTTTGTTAAGGGTTGCTGGAAATTGTAACTCTGTGAGGTGTAAACTACAGTCCTCAGAGTTCTTTGAGGGAACTCATCTGTTCTGAATGTGTTTTGCGTACACACGAAGACTCTCAGAAGCATGCCAGCCAGACTTAGTAACTTTTTCATGTGCATTTTGTTGACAAGTCCTAGAACATCTCATCGTCTCTGCTTGACTTGTCTCATCAGATATTCTCCCCGAAAGGGGGTTCAGGTGTGAACATCTGTCAAACATCTTCCACACTGAAGAGCAAAACAAAGAATTCTTGTAGCTTCTCTATGGTCTCCCTGTCTTCCTTCAACAATCATCCTACACATTGACTAACGATTCAGCAGCCTTCCTGGATTTTCTGCTTGTGATGTAAAGGAATCTGTTTTGTTTTGTTTGTTTTAAACTTTTCACAGTCTTGTTAGGAACACCGGAAGCTGCCTTATGCTGAATTAGACCATAGGTCCATATTCCTCAATATTGTCTATGCCGAACCACAACCCTTCTCCCATTTATTGACAACATAAACTTCCATTTTCTAGACATCGTAATTTTAATTATGCATACCTATAAAAAGACAATAACATATTTACTTTATAACCTTGTTATTACTTAGGAGGTAATGTCCAGCACATCTACTCAGATGTAAGCCCCAATGGAGCTTACTCCCAGGTAAGTGTCTATCGAACTGCAGTCTTCTAAAAAATATTGGGTTGCTTCTGCTGACACCAGGTACTGTGCTCTTGAGGAATAGGATCTGTTTCATAAGCCTAGGCTAATGTGAAAAGGGCTGAGCCATTTCAGGGCTGTGCTTGTTTTTGCCAAGATATACAAAGCATCCAATTTCATACTGGCCAAGCAGCCAATAAAACTGCCAAAGATGTGTCATGTCACAAGGTTCAGAAACACTTGTCCACTTTGATCCTCTTTTTTGGACAATATGGTTAGACCTTCAGAAAATGTAGATGTGCTTTTTACAAACAAATATTTACTCTAATGAGAAATTAACATAAAATATATTTTATAATAAAAAGGTGGGGTGGGGAAGTGCTGCACCCAACCAATTTTACAAGCTGGACCTGTAACAAAACGTTGCCATGTGGAATGCAACCACTCCATTCCCCCTCCCTCTGGTTTTCTGGTCCCCCCTCCAACAATCAGCAATACATGCCCACTGAGTATACCAATTATCACTGGACTCATTTGATTTTTTCCCTTGGGAAGCTTCCCCCAATTCCCTAAATACTTTTGTACTTCTGAAAAACCTCATGGTTCCCCTAAGTCTGCTGACAACTCATGTTTTGTCATATTGGTTCTAAAAAGACTGGCACTCAGAAAACTGAGGTCACTATTAGTATATACCTATAGAGCTGGATCTGCAACAAACTCTGGTGTTCTGGTTTAATTCCATTCACCCTCCATGTACAGCAATAGCGTTCTATTACCACTGAGCATACTCAGTTCTCATTGGGCTGTTTAGTGCAGAGGTCGGCAAAGTTTTTGTGGCTTGGGCCGGTCCACGGTCCCGCAGATGCCACAGTGGGCCAGAATGCGTGCACGCACGCGTGTGCAAACGCTATTTCCAGCGCTCCTTCTGGCACGGAGGAGGCACGCGCAGCTTACCATTGGTTGCAGGAGCTTCCTGCAGCCAATGCGAAGCCGGCCAGTGTTGCGGAAGGCGGTCCCTGCTCTGCTCTGTGCTGGTTTAGCACAGCGCACGGGAGCTGACTGAGCGAGCGGCGGGGTCCATGGGCCAGTTAAATGACCCCCATGGGCCGCTTGTGGCCCATGGGCCTTAGGTTGCTGACCTCTGGTTTAGTGTATGGTCTGAAAGCACAAGTCTACCATTTTGTCGAAGCTCGGTAGGTCTGGGGCTCATCAGAGCCTGGATGGATGACTGCCTGGTAATCAGATGTACACCATCCTGGGTTCCATGATGAAAGAAAGGTGGGATTTATTTTAAGAAAATAAATGTGTATTTGTAGTTCTGAAAAGCTTGCACCCCTCATTTGTGTGGGGAAGTGGCATTTTGGCTACGTAAGCAGTGGCACAGCCTGAGCATCAAAAACAGAGCAAATAATGAGGAAATGCCGTGGCTTGGTGGTAGAGAATCTGCTTTGCATGCAGGGGGTCCCAGGTTCAAACCTGGCTTCTCCAGATAGGGAAAGACTGCTACTTGTAATGCCGCCAATCTGTGTAGAGTAGACAATACTAAGCTTGATAGACCAATGCTCTGACTCAGTGTAAGGCAGCTTCCTATGTTCTTCATGGCTTCCTGCCATGGCTTTCCACAAAAGATCCTGGTAATTTATAGACACTGCAAATTGTCACAGGAAGAAGGCAGCGCTCTCCGGTAACGGCTGTGCGGCTTCGCTCCGCGGAAGAAGCAGTTGACTCACAGCACCGCGCCACTCACCCCGCTTCGCTCCGGAGCCCGTAATTGGGTCCCTTTGCGAATTGGGGGGGCACGAAGGGTGCCCGCCGAGTCCCACGTTCACAGGCTTCACTTGCCTGTGATTTTTGAAGGGTCCCCGCTTCGCCGTAGCGGTACAGACCCGATTCCCGCAGAGCCAGTCCCTCCGAGTCAGAGGGAATCCGCCATTACCGATATTTTTTCTGTGGCAATAGGCATTTGACAGTGAAAGTGAAGGTAGGTTTTTGTGAGGAGGTGATACACTCCCCCCCCTTTGCCCTATACCCTGGAATAAAGGATCAAATCTGAGTCAATATTTTCAGGGTGCCTGTTGCTCGGAATGTGGCAAGGCAGCAGTTCAGGATTTGGACTTTGGATTGGAGATGCAAACCTCTGAGTCACATTTAATATCTGAGTGCATCAGCAGCTTTAATAAATTGTGAAAAGGTGCCCATCACATTAACATGTGAAAAACAAATGCAAGCATTGTCCATTTCCACTTATTTACAAGGTGAGTTATCCTGGGATACCAGCCCCTGAACTGCTTTATTCTAGGAATGAATCAAAGCTTAAAATGAGTTTTAAAAGAATCAACACATCCTGGCTAGAAAAGAGGCTTTAGAGCTGCTTCTATTTTACCCTGGATTACATGAACATATAAACAATAGTACTGTGAAGTTAGTTGTACAACTAAGTAGTTAGCTGGGAAGTCAGTTGTACAGCTAGTTATAAGTACATTGCGGCAAATCTAGTTTTTATGGCATAATGTGTAGTTCCAATATTTATTGAAGCAAACACACACACACACATACACTCATATATGTACATATGCCACATAGAATGCAACTCCTGATACCCCCATTTGAAATGGAAGCTCAACATGAGACCGGAGGAGCTTTTTTGAGCTCTCTTTCCACTAAAAACACCTCAGCCATCCCATGCACAGTTACATTAATGGTTTTGAAAAAGTAAATGGTACTTCTGAACTGGGCAACTCACACCTGCGAGTGCCCCCCTCCCCCGTGGACTCAGACGCAACTGAGGGTTTACACTTGCTGTTTGCATTGGAAGAGAACTTTTCTTCCAATGCAAACAGCAGGCACGAGAGCCGGACAGTATCAGGAGCAGGAGGGCAAATGGTTAAACCCCACTGCCTCCCCTGAGTCTCAATCTCGATTGGTTTGGGGCCCCCACAACTCCTATGTACTATTTAAAAGCCATTCATGCACACGCTAACCTCATCTAGTCTGGCCATGGCTGATTGCCATGTTTGATGTGGGCAGGAGATTTCCCCATCTGACCTATCAGGTCAGATTCACAATGACTCAGCCCCGCCCCCCTTGGCCCACTTTGTGAGTCATCTTCAGCTGCCTTGCATTCTCTTTATCCGTAGCACAGTATCAACCAGAGGTTAGATGCTGCCTTGATATTTCCAGCTCTGGAAGTATGATTCTATCCTCTCCCATCCCTCTTTCCTTTTGTAATAGAAACTCTTCTGTGGGCAGCGGGGGTGGGCAGCAATGCATCTCAAGCACTAAGTCCCCCCCCCCTCCCTAGGTTTGAGATGCTGTTTCTTCGCCTACATGCCCACTTTTCTGTTCTTCCTGGGCTGCCTCTTTCCCCCTAGCCCCACCCCAACTCCCCTCTGTGGCTCAGCGGCCTTGAACCTTGGCCCTGCATTTCTTGAAGTGGAAATGAAAATTGATTACCTCGGTCTTCGCTCTGTACATCAGTGTCTTCTCCACCCCCACCACCCACCACTTCCCTGCCTTGAGGGCCGCCCTCCCTGAACCCTTAAGCTGGTCTTAGCTATGAGGAAAGGCTACAACATTTGGGATTTCTTAGTTTAGGACACACGGGTGAGTAGGAGAGGCATAATGTGTGCGAAGTTGTATGTGGTGTGGCAGGGGAGAAATTTTCTCCCTTTCTCATTATTCTAGGACCTCAGACCATCCAATGGAGCTGAATATTGGAAGGAGAGGAAACAGAAGTCATGTTGTACCAGTAGATCTCCTATATACGTAACAATGAACTATCATGTTACCAGGGGATGGTAAAGTGCTCCTTGTACCTACTTCTGCCAGCCAGTTTCCTGTTTACAGCAGTTTCAAACATATTTCCTGCTGTGACTTGGCAATATCCCAGTCAGGTGGATGGTCACGCCTGAGCTTGAAGCGTAGCTGTTCTCACACATAACTGCTCTTATCACTTTGTCGTGTAATGCCCTCAATGACCTTTAACAATTGAAATTAAAACTCTGTTCTATTGAAAGGACACTAAAAGAAACTGGTGCAATCTTGGAACCGTTAATGACCTGAACAAATGTACATTATTGAACTTGGAGCATGTTAATGGACCTACCATTGCATACTTTGTTTACATGTATGGATAGATGAAATAGTCAATTGACTGAGCATAAACCGGGGAAGAAATCTGATTAGAACTAGACACAGATCGGATGGGCACATGGATTTTCACATTCCACTATCCTTTGCCCTTCTAGTAGCAATTTAGTGAATGCTGCTTCGACAATTTGCACACATGCACTAGAGACTTATTTATAGAACCAAAAAATAACAGAGTATGAAAGGAGATGTATGTTGTTTATTTATCGCTCACTTCCTTTCACAACAACCACACAATAACCCTGTGAGGTTGGATAGACTGAGAGAGTGTCCAGACCAGCCTTTTTCAACCTTGGGTCCCCAGATGCTGTTGGACTACAACTCCCATCATCCCTGACCACAAGTCCTGATAGCTGGGGATGATGGAAGTTGTAGTCCAACAGCAACTGACGTGTAACTTTTGAATAAATGTATTAATTTTTTTGTTTAAAAAAAACATCCACACAAAAATGAACAGTGTTCATGTTTAGCATATGTAATTACAAATCTGAACATGTAAGTGCCGTGCTCATATTCATAGTACATGTTCACATGGATGAGAACATAGAAATGTGGATATTCTCTGCTGAAATGCCAACTCTACTAAATATGTGACTCAGCCCTCAAGATGTCAAGATCATATGACTGAGATTTTGGGTGTAGGAGTCACAAGAGCAATGAGATAATCCAGTTTGTTATAGTTGAAAGCTCCATACAAAAAAAGTTAAAGCGCTTATGACTAAATGAGTGCAAGCCAATTTAAGCAAAGGAAATTCTGGAGCCCTGGAAAGGTTGGCACATGATATGTCCTGATAGTATCGGACAGACATTGAGGTACAAAGCCTACTTTCCAGCAAAGACTGCCACATTCTTTTATTTGATTTTTGATGACATATGTGGTATAAATCTCCCAGGGACATTGTTCAGGCAATTGCTTTGCTTATTTATTTCACTATTAACCTTGACCTGGTGTACAATTACATAAGGAGAGTAATTATATTTTCTGGCACAAGAAATATGGGAGGTGTTTTATGGAGAGACTTTGCTCACTCTGGTTGGCTGTGGATATCTTAAACCTTCATAAGGGGTTTTATGAAATCAGTTTGTAATGATTAGGTTCCCTGCCTTCTGCTGTAATAACTGTCTCCCAGAAACTATTTCCCTATCTTTGTTTATAGGGGTTAATTAAATGGATAGCCACGCACAGTGCTGTTCCTCTTCTACTATACATGTGGATACAATTTCTCTTTATTATTGATTGGGTCACTATGACACTGTGAGGTTTGTTACATGCTTATTGAACAGCTTAGTTGCAATAGTCTGGATCCTCATATAAGTTAAGGAAGCCCATGGGAAGTTTCTCATCTTGTCCCTGTTCCCTCCAGTCACAAGCACGTTCAGCAAAGCTTTTTTGGAGTTTGGGAGATGGTTCCTTAACCATGTGTGATGAGGCATGGGCAAGGGAGGGCTTCTGGGGAAGGGGGATATCACTCCAAATCAGACTTAGATCCTAAGATATGCATATGTTTTGAATAAGGGACTCCCAACCCTCCATAGGGACTTTGGGATGTGTGTGCAGATGGCCATAAGGATGGGGGGAAAGGGAATGGGGAACTTCTGTGAACTGCCTGGAGTCAACTATCTTAGGTTCTAATCCTGTACATCAAGTAGGGTTGAGAACCTTTGGCCCTCCAGAGATTATTGGACTCCAGCACCTATTGGCTTCAACCACCATGTCCAATGACCAGGGATGGCATAGTCCAACAACATCTGGAGGGCAACAGGTTCCCCACCATTGGTCTGCAGCACATCATCACATACAAATAGGCAAAACAAAGGTATTTGTCAAACATAAACATTTAGGAAGATTCCTGTTGGACTGGCCAAGGTCCATCTAATCCAGAATTTGGTTTCCTTTGGTAGTACCCAGACAGCTGCTTCAAAGGGGGCTTACAAGTATGTCACAAAGGCCCTACATTGCCCCCATCACCTGATATTGAGAGTAAGAACATTACAAGAGCCCTGTTGGATCAGACCAAAGGCTCATCCAGTGCAGTATTCTGTTCTCACAGTGGTCAACCAGAGGTTGAGCGCCTTCATTTCCTGAAGCATGTTAAACTTGCACAAAGGAGAGGGCATTTTTCTGTAGTGAGGCCTTAACTTTGGAACACTCTCCCTACTGAAGTGGAACAGGATGTCAGTGTTACATCTTTTCAGTGCCAGGTTAAAACTTGTTTGCTCAGGCATTTAAAATATTTGATTTTGGTCTGCTTATGCTTTGCTCTTCCACCCCACCCTATTATTTGGGTTTCAAAAGAGAAAAAAATAAACTGATTGCCTAATAATGCATATAATTTCATCTAGACTGCATCAGATTTTGTGCTCAGAGGCTGCAGTGGGCTATGCCACACAAACAGATTATGGCTAGAAAGGGCCGTAGCTTAGTGGTATCAGAGTATGTGATTTTGTGTGTGCAGAAGGTCCCAAATTCAATTCCCAACATCTCCAGATTGGGGTGGGGAAGACTCCCATTTGAAACCCTGGAAAGCCTCAAACAGCAGCCAGGGTATATGATGTGTGGATGCATACCCACCCCAGCTACATCTGAGAGCCACTTTTTCAATTTGCCACAATGCCTTTACAGCATCACTCTCACATAATGTTGATCAAAATGCTTCTGTTGTCACCAACAGGGAAGCCCTGAGGAGAACTCACCAACTGTCACTGTAGACAATACCGAGATAGGTTGACCATGTTCTTACGGAGTATAAAATAGCTTCCTATATTCATGTGCTGCCCATGTGAACTAGCAGCAATCAGCTTAGGAACCAGCATTGCTCTGGTGTGGGTTGTGAGTTTCAGATGTGCTCATTCAGTGTGCTTGATACTTGACAAATGTTCTGGGTATTCAATGCTACTCAGAATAGGCTCATTGGGAGGTATTAAACTAAATAAATGCATGAGTGGAACAAACTTTTGTTTGTGCAACAGAACTTTCCCTCCCCCTCTTCTCCCTCCATGCACATCCCACCACCCCCAGATTTGCTCCAAAGGGTAGCAAGAACTCCCAGAAGAGATTTAAGGAGCACACAGGGAGAGAAGGGGGGTGGGGAAGTCCTACAAAGTGCTACTTAGCACGGCATTGAAGATAGCTCATTTGAATTAATAAACATGACTAACTTAGGTTCATTCATTTGAATGGATCTACTCTGAGTAGATGACTACAGACCTTTATCTGGAAACACCAGTAGTCTAGAGCAGATCTCCATGGGAACATACCAAACTCATGGGTTGGTGCTTTGCCACACCAGAAATGTGGGGAAAGTCCTCTGGAAAAGATGGTACGACCAACACAGGGCTATTGTACACCGGAAACACACTTTGGAAAGTTCTAGTTCAGTGACTGGTAGGTATTAGGCATTGCCCTCACTCTAGGATTGGGGTCATGGTGAGTCTTGATAGGAAAGAAGAAAATCATTATCACAATGTCTTTCTTTAAATCCTTGATGAGGTCTATAGTACTAGACAGCCTTCAGTTGTAGAGAGGGCTTTCTAGAAGATAGATTGATTTGAATACTACAATGCAGAGCAAAAACAAGGCCTGGAAGGCATTGGTTATATAAAAAGTATACTGAAAGGGAGTTTAAACAGCTGCCTGGCTCTGCCCTTTTACCAGAAATCAAATGTTTTGACTACGAATGAATACCTAATGAAACAACTGAAGTAAACCCCACAGGCTATGTCTACAAAAAGGCTATTATATCTGATGCAATATAATGTATGATATATATGATGTCATCTAACGTTCCAAAGTGTGGTGTACCACAGAATTTTAATTGTGCTTTGAGGATGACCATATGTACGAGATAAACTGCCATGCTAGGTAACTGTGATGCTACGAACCTTTAATATGTAACTGGAGATGGATGGGATATAAATTTAGTTGACATTCTTAACCTGCAGTCTTTTGCACAGAGAACAATCATGTGGAAAAACAGAACAGCCAGTGCCACCTGCTGTTTACAAGTAGGAGCTACAAACTAATAATGGAATTAAGAACAGGCCATTAAAGAGAGCTTCTGCCTCCTTCCTCACTGTTGCATTTTTTTATGTTACAAAGATCTGTGTGACAAACGTGCACTTTTCAGAAAAACAACAAATTTACACTATTTGTCAACTAATACATAGCAACTGGGGGGTGTGGTATTACATAACATGGCATAGGTCATGGTAACTTATACAGTCATACCTCGGGTTGAAGTTGCTTCAGGTTAAGGGTTTTCGGGTTGCGCTCCACAGCAACCCGGAAGTAATGGAACACGTTACTTCTGGGTTTCGCCGCTCGCGCATGTGCAGATGGTCAAAATGACATCACGCACATGCGCAGAAGTGGCGAATCGCAACCCGCGCACACGCAGGCGTGCAGACACAGGTTGCGTTCGCTTCAGGATGCGAATGGGGCTCTGGAACTGATCCCGTTCGTATCCAGAGGTACCACTGTATATGAAAAGATATGGCCATCCTTCATAAAATTCTGAAAACCACCAAGACAACCTTGAACAATTATACAACTGTAATTTTGAAGGACTGCATCTGTACCAGGAAACCGACAGGACTTGCCTCATGTAGATGTTAACACATGAGAGTTATCCATCTTTCTCTAAAAGGCACTTATCTAGTCATTTAATGAGGCAAACAAGAAACTTGTCACAGAAGAGAAGCAGGTACTTAGTGCAACACCACAATGGGAATTTCCTTGACTTTGCTCACGGCCCACAAAGAGGTAGGTAGCTGCGCATTGCTGATGTAAAACAAGCAAGGAAAACATGATAGTCACAAGTTAGTCACATGCACTGTTGACACTGGTGTGGTGTTGCTATCTGTTAGGGTGGCACAGATACTTCCAGCTGGTGATGAATTATGGTTGGTTCTTGGATCAAGGAATCATTCCCACTAAACGTTTACTGCTTACTCATGAAATATCTGAGAAAATGAACGTTCTTCCAATGTTCCGTGTACTTAGAAGATGTGACACAGTGTTATTGTGAGTTTGCAGGTTTCATACAGGCAACTGGTTGGCCACTGTGAGGACAGGAGGCTGTGTTAGATGTGCCATTGGCCTGGCTGCGCCTGCAGGGTTCTTCTTATACTTTTATCATTTGGAAAGATAACAGCCTGGGTAAGTTATTATAGCAACGTCGCATTAACATACAATTGACTGATATTTAAAGTTGTATCCCTTCCTCTCCAGCAGAGATCCAAATGCAAAGAGCCCCCTCTGAGCTGCATTTAGCAAAATGAAAACTTGTCATTGCATACTGTTCAACTGTCCCAATTCTACCGGGGCAGCCATGGAATTAGAAAAGCCACCACAGTTTCTGAGCTAATCCTGGGGTGCTCAGATTTCTCCCTGCCAGCAGACAGGGGCCACGGAAGCAGCTCCTGAGGCGGCAGTGGTGTTGGGAAGGCGGCAAGCTGTTTCTTTTCATCCACTCAAGCCAAGCGTGGTGAGCTGACTTCGCATCTGTGATGGCACTTTTCACAGAGATGAGGAATTGCCTCCCACACTGCTGGTTTCCAGCTTTCCCAGCCCTAGTGGACTAGCCCACAATGGCTGTTAGTATTGGCAGGAAGCGCTACTGAGGGAATTCCTACCTCAGGGGCTTAAAGTACACGTGCGGACCAATCTCGTGAGGAATCTGCACTTGGGAATGAACAGCCTGGGTGTCGCAAGTGGGACTTAGAGATATGCCTCCTTATCTGGGTGCTGGGAAGGGACTCCGGGAGAGGCTTCGCTCATAGCTGTCAACTTTTCCCTTTTTTTAAGGGAAATTCCCTTATTCTGAATAGGTTTCCTCACAAGAAAAGGGAAAAGCTATGTTCGCTTGTGCTGTCAGGCTAAATTGAGGGCCCTGAGAGGGAGGTGTGGACATGTAGCCAAGCCGCGAAATGTTTATTCCTCTCTCTCTTTCCACCATCTTTCTCCAACCCTGGTAAGCAGCGGAAGTTTGGTGCACATTTCTGCCCAAGCTACCTGACCCATGCAGCAAAGTGGCACCAAAAGACAGTGTCCCAGTTTTCTTCTCAAAAGTGTTGGAGGGTATGTCATTGCCGTCAATTGACTGGTCCCTCCAGCCTAATTTGTAGTAAGCAGCGTAATCTATTGGACAGTGGGTGCTGGTCCATATGGGCAAATGGATTCCTGCCGCACCAGCCCCACCAGTCTGCCCTCAGCTGGCCCCCAGCTGCCTGCCTTCTTGCTTACTACAAGTCTAATGCCTATCAGCTTCCTCCTCCTTAGTGTCCATGTTATTCCTTGTAGAATTCAACAGGGAGGATGGAGACAAACTAGAATTAGCTGGCCTCGCCTGTCATTGTCTCTGCCTCGACTTACTGTTGGTCTCCCTGCCTTTCGCCCTGCAAGTCCATCAATGGGCACCATTCCATAATCTGGATACTGAAGAATTTTTTCAGGCCCTGCCAACCTTCCAGCAGCATGAAAGTAACTCATTGTACAGAAACTAGCTTTATACTGGACATAGCAAGAGATGTTTAAGGTATCCTGCTGCTGCTGTCTTGTGTCTTTGGGATTTTTACTGGACTGGTAACCTGCATTTCAACCTTTGCTACTGACTTTCCCTCTCCCTTGTTAATGCCACCCTAACTTTTATTCCCATGACTCTTTTGCCTGCTTGCTTCTGCCAGTTCCATTCTGCATCTGGCATGTTCTGGGTGCATGTCCCACGGCACCTTGAAATGAATTGCATGCTGGTTGCTGTTGTTGTCAAAGATGCCTTGTACACAGTGGACATTGTGTGCGATTGCATCAAGAACAGGGCGATCTAAAATGTTCTTGGCGACTTCACTGGCCTGCTCCCCGAATGTCTTGTTACCACTTCCCATAGTTCAGTTAGTCACTTTGTCCCTTGTAATTCTATCTGTCAGCATAGTAGGCAAGGGGGAAACTGCAGGGGGTCGGGAGTTTCTAGATTAAATCAAGCTCCGTTCCCTGGTCTGTTTCCCCTCCCTGGTCTGCTGTTGGACTGATTTCAAAAGAAAACTTTCAATGAGTTTCAGATTTCACAAGAGGCAACTGGAAGAAAAAAGCCTTCCCATTCCCAGGCATCTATAGGTATGCAAAAGTGTTCCTTGACAATAGGCATCTAATTCTAATATCTTTGTTAGCGCTGGGACATGACATCTTGTTCTTCTCAATGCACGAGAAATAACAGTCAGGTTTTCATTTCATTTCCGTTTGTTTGTTTGTTTGTTTGTTTGTTTGTTTGTTTGTAGCAAGCAGAAATGGAGTAGATTATTCATTCATTTATTTAAAATAATAATAAACTGCTGAATCCAAAAACTCTCTAAGTGGTGTACAACTAAACTGATAGATTATTTAGATTAAACCATGCATATATCTGCTATGTCATTATGAAAAACATTCTTTAAAAAGAATTAAAAGCTTGTAACTCTATTTGGTGTTTCATTGGATTTTCACCCTCTTTCACGGTTTGTTCTCATCTTGATCAGCCCATTAACTTTGCTACTGCTGCTTGTTGAGACGAAACGGTGTTTTTGACAACCAGGTCCTTCTAAGTTACTAAGCCATGGCAGTGATGAGAGAGGATTCCTCTCAGGTTGCAAATGCTCTCCCCTCTGATTTACTTGGTTGACCAGGGGAAAACCTGTGCAAATCTTTTAAGGGCAGGGGTAGGGTTCTCAATCCTCTGCAGCAATGTTGATGTTTCTGCCGGTAGAGAGGGGTTTAAAAATGATCTTACTCAAAAATCTCTTTGCAAATGTAAAAATGGCTGCGATTCTCACTCATCTTATAAATGTCAGCCACCCTCATTTTATTTCCTGTAATATGATGGATGACTTAAATAGCATGAAACTGGCTCCAAGGTAATTTAAGCCTCATGTCCCACAGAGGAATTTACGGTCTTCAAACAAAAACATCTTGAAGGTCCCAGGCCACAGAGAGGTTAGGCTGGCCTCAACTAGAGCCAGGGCTTTTTCGGCTGTGGCTCCGATCTGGTGGAACGCTCTGTCCCAAGAGACTAGGGCCCTGCGGGACTTGACATCTTTCCGCAGGGCCTGCAAGACAGAGCTGTTCCACCAGGCCTTTGGCCAGGGCACAGCCTGACTCCCTCCTTTGGCAATTTTCACAGAACTTTAGCGCAATGGTTGCCATCAATTTGATTTGAATTAATTTTATAATGAAATGATTTTAGAATGTTGTATTATTTTATTGTTGTTAGCCACCCTGAGCCCGGCTTTGGTTGGGGAGGGCAGGATATAAATAAAATTATTATTATTATTATTATTGTTATTATTATTATTATTATTTATTGGCTAAGATGAGAAGCAGAAGAAGAGGCTGAGCAAAGCTTGCTTTGAATCGGGTTACTCTAAGGAGTTTATACAAGGGAGAGACAGAGAGGGACTTATTATGGTTTCCTAATTCCTGGTGCAAGGCTGGCACAAGTAGATGTTTGCCAAGCAGCCTACAATATTGTGCTTTCCCTGTGTGTTTGGGAATGGGTTTGGGTTTGGGGTTATGTACTCCATGCTCCTCAAATGAGTTCACCAGTATGATGATGCCAACTTTCCTCTTAATGACTTCCTCCAGAGACAAGATCTTGGTGTCTTCTGAGCAGCTGAGAATAATTATCCATAGCTAACAGCACCAGAAAAGATGCCTTATTCATCTGTTCCAGTGCGGTTACTTGTCTGTCAAAACTTCTGTAGTTGAATTCAGCTGAAGTTCTTGTTTAACTTGGTTTGCAGGATGTTTGAACGCATTAGCCAAAGCGTTAAAATCATTGGCATCTCTAAAACCATTTCCTAGCACCTCCCAGACACCTCTGGGTGTTTTCTTTCAAAACTTGAACCTGCCTCTGGATTTGACAAATAACAGGCATGTCCTCTTTATTCAGAACATCACAGCATCAATTAGGGGCTAGTTTAAAACTCTGCTGTTCCTGCAACCTGGATTGGAGCAGTGGCAGATCTTTGAAGCTTGTTCTTTACCAGATCTGTTTTAGTAACTTTTAGGGAAATTATCATTTTTTATTGATGATATTTTATGTCCTTGATATCAAAGATCAGTATGAAGAAGAACCTGGAGAAACCCAATAGATTGTTAACAGAAGGCAGTCAGATAAGAGAAGCGTTTTGAAAAGCCAACTGGTGTCATGTAGTCAGTAGAGTATTGAACTTGGCAGAGGCTATGTGAGTTCAGATCCCTCTCCAGCCACTAAGCTCACTGTGTAGCCCTCACCAAGTCACTGCTTATTTCCATGCTATATCCCTATCACAGATTCTTTTTGGAGCACCTACTGGGTCTCCATGTCTTAAGTTTTAACTTAGAAGGAGTTCAGTCCTGTTTTCTTAGATTTATATTTGGCTCATCTAGATGTGTTGCCGATGCTGCTTTTGGAAACTGAACTAAATTCTTTGACCTTAGCTTGGATGTATTTCATTCACTTTTGGCTCCAGTGCTCTTTTGCTTCCTCCCAGTTCCTTTGTTTTCCAGGTGATGAGAGACTCTCATAAGGTTGCCTAGATGAAGGAATTACTGCAAAATGTTACAGTGGTACAATGGTTCTCAAACTTAATCCATTCCGGAAGTCCGTTCCAAAACCAAAGCGTTCCAAAACCAAGGCACGCTTTCCCATATAAAGTAATGCAAAATGGATTAATCTGTTCCAGGGTTTTAAAAAGCAATTTAACATGAATTTTACTATCTAACGAGACCATTGATTGATAAAATGAAAGCAAGAAACAATGTACTGCAGTCACACAATTAATCTGTAGCTGAACTGGGTTCCACACAGTCACAAAAACAAAAACAAAAGAGCTGCAAAAATGCAAAATAAATAGCAAAAACAGACAGACCTCAGTGTAACACTCAAAACAGAAGTGTGGCACTCAAATCGGAAGCGTAACACTCAAAACAGAGCATGCTCGGCTTCCAAAAAAGTTAACAAACTGGAACACTTACTTCTGGGTTTGCAGTGTTTGGGTTCCAAATTGTTTGAGTACCAAGGCATTTGAGAACCAAGGTACCACTGTACTTGAGTTTTCACCTTCTTATTATCTATAGCTTATAAGCAAGCCAAATGTGGCTTTAATGCTTCCATCCACCCAAGTAAAGCGGTATATCAAATTTTCTGTGGCTCCGTTTTTTGTTTAAAAATACATATATAAACACAATTTGGCACCAACTCCACCATCTTGTGATGACAAGGGCAGTATTTGTTATTTATAGGAACTTGGATATATGTTCCCCATAAAAGTTTTGGAGGGTTAGGCATTTAAGGGTGCCAGATAAAAGGCTTTCCTGTGTTTAGGAACAGATAACCATTTCAGATAAGGCATCCCATTCTTAGAAGTGGAATTTGGCAAACCAAGCAACTGAGAGGAACAAGGCTCCTTGGCGCCACGCCATACACTCTTGTAGGTCAATTGCCGTTAGTCTCTGTTTGACAATACATTTGGCTTGCTTCGAGGCTATAGATAAGTGCAAATTTTTGAAGAATGGCTGTGATTTGGTTCAATTCACTTTGCATTTAAAGGTAAATTCACATTTAAAAGCAGACTGAATCAAATTGCTTTCCCATCCCTAGGGAGGGGTGGTGATAGCATTGGAATTGCACTACCTCTGTTCCAAAACTTCAAAAAATACCTGGAGGCACCAGTTGCCCTTCTCCTCTCTCTCATCCTTAGGTAATGGTATAAAGACTGTGAGTACATGATGAGTTATAGTAACCTTTGGTGTAGCTTCAGGTAAATTAACAGTATCTCACCAGGGATGAATTTGTCCTGTGTTACTTAATTTGTGTTTCAGATTAAAAGAGCATCATAAATTACCATAGCACAATGGAGCAAATCTCAATTAACACAATTAATTTAGGGAAGGCTCTCTTTTATGGCGGTAGCATACTTAAGTTGATTGGATTCACAGACTGTAGGAAAGGACAACTCAGATGATGAAAAGACTGGACCATCTTCCCTGTAAGGAAAAGCAAAAAATTGTATTTTTATAGCTTAGATTAAAAAAGATGACATAGGGAAAGGAATAGAAGCAGATGGAAGTTATGTGAGATTTGGAGAAAGTGGACAGAAAGATACAACATTCTCCGTCCCTCATAACACCAGCAGAACTGATCAACAGGGGAGACAAAATAAAATACTTCTTCAGACACATAATTAATGCATGAAATTTACAACCCCAAGATGTGTTGTTTTTAACTTCCTTTTGCTTTTAACTTTTTACGATTTAATTGTTTGGTTTTATGTTTTCATATTGCTGCAAAACACTGTAATACAGCAGCATATAAATATTTTTATAAATAAAATAATTATGCACTGGCTCACATTGTTTTAAAAGGTGATTAGACAAATTCAGAGAGCATAGGTCAACCAATGGCTATTGGACACAACAAAATGTGGCACTGTGAAGTCAGGGTTGAAGTTTCTAGATTTTCTACCCATCCTCCCCATAAAAAATGGTTTGCAGAGTAATCTGACACTGGGAATTGTATGTAAGGCTAGATGGACCTTTCGTTGGGAGACTGATATGGAGAGAGGAGACCTTGCTTAACATCATCTATTTGAGCTTAGGAACTTTCTGACTCATCATAGCTCATGGCTGGGAAGCCACTATCCACTGGCAGAGGAAGAGGAGTGCGGGGGGAGTGCATTGCCCCTGGCAGCGCGATCCTGGTAGGGTGCCATTGCGGCTGTCCCCCCGCCCGTGCTGCGTGCCATGCCCCTGCAGGTGGCGCACCCCACCCCTGGGACGCGCGCCAGCCCTGCCCCCACCTGCTCTCCGCCCCCCGGTGCCGGAGCATGAAGCTCCACCACTGCCACTATCCCTTAACTATGAATTGATGCAAATGTATTGAATATCTCCAGAAAAAGTTGAATGGGGTTCTGTGTTTAATCTCTCCTATCCTGTGAAAAAATCATTTCTTAAATACACTGATGTCAAATTATTTGGAACAGATGGGTAAAATCTTAGCTCCTTTATGGGAGTAAACAAAGGCATGTGGAATTCACTAACCTTATGCACACATATCATTTAAAAATTAATACAGCAATAGATAAGAGAGCTAGGGGTATATGAAAAAATTCCATCAATAGGACTATTATGGCTAAGACATTAAAGTGAGGCATATCAAAGTGAAGTTGCTACATTAAAAAAAATTGATCTGTAGTTTGCATCCATTAATAACTTTCTGCATTGCTTATCATTTCAGGAACATTTGGTCCTAGCATGTGATCTGTCAATCAAAAGCAAAACCATCAGGGAGCACCAAAAAGCCATTACAGCTTCAAACATCAGTGTGGAAGCAAAAAAATAACATATACTGCACTAGCAGAAAAATCTGTTGTTGCTTCTCTTAAGTATTACTTTGGAGGAAATTATTAACATAATAATGATTAACCATGTTATATTTAACCACGATCCAGTCCATAAAAATAAGTGATGATTCTCCAGAGGCCTATGAAAGAATGTGGTTCAGTATCCATAATGAACAGTGAAATTATTATCTTTCTCAAAGTCAATGTAGAAAGCTGCCTATTCAACCTTTACTCTCCTGCACTTTAAAGATAGCTCACCTATCATGAATCCTGTGCTAAAAATATCCCATTCCTTGTGTTGCTCACTGAAAAGCTATCTCTATGTGGTACTTTCTGAACTGGGAATATCCGTAGAGATCTTTTAATGCTGAAAATTTCAGTTTGAATTTTGCACTATATCTGGAGATCACTGGAAATTCTCAGTGATAACACAATATCCCAATTTTTAGCTTCTGATTAAAACTGCTTGAGGCTGAGAAACCCCTTTGAAGATACAATTTGATGTCCAATTTATGTATACATTCAAAACTGATCCCAAGAATCCCAGGAGCATGTTGAATCAGTAACCACAGTGGAACCCAGGAAATAGCAAGTGTGCAGAGAAAATTGTGGCCACAGCTGTGTCATTCCATTGCCCCTAAAATCCCTGTATATTTACTTCAGTGTTCAAAGGTAAAGGTAAAGGGGCCCCTGACCATTAGGTCCAGTCGTGGCCGACTCTGGGGTTGCGGCGCTCATCTCGCTTTATTGGCCGAGGGAGCCGGCGTACAGCTTCTGGGTCATGTGGCCAGCATGACTAAGCCGCTTCTGGCGAACCAGAGCAGCGCATGGAAACACCTTTTACCTTCCCGCCGGAGTGGTACCTATTTATCTACTTGCAATTTGTCATGCTTTCGAACTGCTAGGTTGGCAGAAGCTGGGACAGAGCAACGGGAGCTCACCCCGTCGCGGGGATTCGAACCACTGACCTTCTGATCGGCAAGTCCTCGGCTCTGTGGTTTAACCCACAGTGCCACCGTAGCATCCAACTAAATAGTGCAAGGACTTTTGGCATTTCCCCTCCCTCTCCTCTCACTGCAGCCCTCCCGTGTCCCCCTACATATGTTCTGGGATTTCCAACCCTCACAAGGCCCCATTAAACCCTTCAGCCTTGTGCAAGATCTCACAAGGGGCTACTATAAGTAGGGAAGCAGAAGCTCCACCCCCACTTAACCATTCTGGAACCCCTGTGTTGCCAAAGGGACCCCATTTACAGAACACGTGGAGCAGCAGCTACTGGAGGGAAAGTCAGCCAGAAATCAGTCATCTAGAGGAAATGCTGTCTATCATGGCTATGATCCAGCTGTAAGGATAGGGACGCTGATTTTTGGCCTCATGGTTTTCTAAAAACCACAGGGAAGGCTCCGCAACCAATCAAGGGTCAGAACAGAAAAGTTAGAATGATATTCTTCTTTTGTTTCCTAAATTTCCTGCATTTATCTCTGCATCTTCATTTGTGTGCTCTAACAATAAACATTTCTGGGAGTGGGGTGGTTTAAAGACTCATATGACTATAAGCTCAAATATAACTGCACGTCTAGGTGCTTGTATGATGTTACTCTTAATGGTGCTGAGATGACAACATTCACAGAAACTGGTGGTAACGGACCTTGCACCCAAATTTGATGGGGGTCCAATTAGGGACCATTTGTAGCAACTAGTTATTTCAGACTTTTTTAGTCTAGAAGACCCTTCAAGAATCTGCCCCAAAAGGAGGTGCTGAATTCTTTTTTAGGTGATGGGATTAATGACATTGCTGCCTGTTGAAAAACAGTCAGAGAAAGCACAGTTGGGGGGGGGCAGTCTTGAGGTGGCAAAATCATTCTGTTGCATTGTATTTCCCCCAACAGATACACTTAAACAGTGAGCAAGGGTGTGATTCTGTACCCACTTACCAAGGAGTAAGCCCCACTGAACTTAGTGGGACTGACTTCCTAATAGATGTGCATAGTATTATACTGAATCCATCTGTGGCTGTGTGCAAAGCAATACCCTTGCTGGTTCTTAATTCCTTTTTTTTGAAACTGCAGCCATTAAGCAAGTGTATACTTGTAAATTGACATCCAAGAGTCTCCATTTTAAAACCAGGATTTGCTGTTGTGTGTCCTGTGTCTGCTTTCTGATTTTCTCATGACTTAAACACAGCAGGGAGAGGGGGGAGGGAGGGAGGGGAAAGAGAGAGAGCTCTAGGAGACCCTGTAATGTCTGCCATGTTATTCCAGGAACTATTCGCTTGAGAATATGTTTGCATCAATACCGTGCCAGGAATTTGGAGGGCTGTCTTTGAAGCACAGTTCTGTGAAAAGAACTGTCGCAGTGACAGCACTGTGGGAGAAAACATCTGATAACTGTTTAGTGAGTGGCTCATGCTGCATTCCTGCTAATTAGCAAGGTGACAGGTTTTCTTCTCCAGAACTGTCGCTCTGCTTTAATTCAGGGTGCATCAGACACTCCCAACTGTAGCTGGCATATTGTCAAGTTCAGTCCTTCTCGGTACATGACCGGGGACATTTCATTTCATGTTAGATTTATGATTTCTCTTTCTCTCTGTTGAAAGAAGAGTTGCATCCTCAGCATCTTGATTAAAGACTGTGTTAACTAGCCACGTAAACTGGGCAAATAGGAACGGCATCTCAGGATATCCCAAAATAACATCCCAGTATATTCTGAAATAGTATCACTGAGTGCTGCTGTTGGAAGGAAGGGCAGTTTATATTGGGTTGCCAGACCTTAGGGGCTGACCCAAAGTCTCCAGGGTTGCCTGGCTCCCTCCAGGTAGCAAAGGGAAGTCTTGAATCTCCAGGTGTGTGAGAATGCCTTAATTTATTTATTTTTTAATTAAGACATTTCTGCACGCAGCTTGCACATTTCAGCCTGGCAGGAGCTGGCTGCAAATTATTGCATATACTTTTTTTTGCTGGTGGTGGGAACTGCCTTTCTCTGCTGTCCCAGTTAACCTCCATCTCCAGGGTTCAATAGAGGGAGGGAGCACAGAGGAAGAAAGATCAGGGCCCACTCCTATGACATCACCAGGGGCTGTCCCTAAGTCTCAGGTTTAGGCCGAGAAATTTCAGGGTCTGCGATGCCCCTGACCTGGCAATTCTATGATTATGACAGCGGGACTTGCTTCTGAATAAACACTGCATCTTTTTCATTAAAATGAAAAGCCTTAGAAATACGGATTAATGATAAATATTTAACTGGTAATTTACCAAGAAGTTCTGTGCAAAAGTAGTATTTGCTTGAGCGTCACCCGCAGTATCTTGAGCTCCACCCACAGTATGGATATGTAAGGAATTATTGGAAGCAAAAAGAGCACAATTCAACAGGATTTTTTTCCCTATGTAAGTCATGGAAAGTGGGGTGCCACACACTCATTTCCTCCATTTTTATGGAGCTGTGTTGTACCCAAAGATATCCATATTTAGAGTTTGGGAGCTAGGCACTTCAAGTGGCTAGAAAAGTCCAACAGTGTCATAACATAGGTCCAGGTTCATTTCCAGCTACTTCACAAGTCAATGGCAGTTGTTCTTCGCAGCCCTCCACAAGCTGCAAGGATGTTCAGGCAGGGGAAAGTGAGGACTTGTGAAGCATAAATCCTCGCAATGCTCCACACTAGGGTCTGGGGAGTTCACTGCATCCACGGTACCATGAAATCCTGTGTCTGCCAACTTGAAAGGCAGAGTGGGAACAACCTGGAAGTGTGTCCCTGCCTTGGATGAGCCTCTGTTACCAGCGTGATTTGTGGTTGGCTCCTCCTTAATCTGGACAATTGGCTTTAATCAAGAAGCGCTCCTGGACTGACATATGCTAATGGGCTGCAATCAATCAGCTGCCAAAAGGACTGGGCTTGGCTCTCTGAATGTATTTGAATGTTTTTCTGAAGCTTGAGAACCCCTACAACAACTGGGAAAGGAAGGGGGAGGACAAGGTGCTTTGTGCTTTCTTACGGTTTTCAAAAGGTCTTTCCTTTTCTTGACCTCCCCTGCATAATGAAAGAGACGTGTGTAGCCACTGCTTTGTTATTCTGTCTGATACTTTGAAAAAGAGGGGGGAGGCTTTTGATTTATGCTAAGGAATTTAATAAGGTTTTGGTATGCCCTTCCCCCTCAGCTGAGGCTGAATGGACTTTTTCTGCAACTATTTCTGGACTGGAGCGTTGCCGGAGGAATGCAGGGGGTGGGGGATGAACTGCAGCCGAACAGATGTGGTAAAGAGACTGAATTTGAGGAAAGATCTTGCTCTTAACTGTGTGCTGAGAAAGAACTCCAGAGCGGAATTTAATGGCAGAGCCTGGATGTACACCCTGTGAGTTATTAATGGCTGCGGCCCATACGCTAGTCTGTAAACTGCGGAAGGAATGGGATGTGACTTTGTACCATCCAGATAAACACTGCAAAGAACTGAACAATGGAAGATAGTAATGAACTCTCTCAGCACACCAGGTCTGGAACGAAAATGTGTATGAAGGACTACACACGTGAACTGGATTTTATATTTGTAAGATGTAGTAGAGATGCTGTTTGTAACGGGGGGAAAGCAGTCAGCTGGAAGAATGGTTTAACGGCAAGCGAAGGATGACAACTGGACACTTATTAAGAAATGATGCATCTATGGGAAGAAATGATTGACATATGTTTGAAACAGGAGCGGGAAACCCGATTTTAAGAAATTGTATTAAAATAATGTAATTAGACTTGATTTGTATAATTTGGAAAAATAATAAAAAGAATTATGAAAAAAGAAAACAGCTCTTCAAACTTAAAAATAATAATAATAAACCCCACATAGGTCCAGGTCCAGTGTTACATTTGTGGCATCCTCACAGTGGACCTCAATGTCCCTAGGAAACTGCTGAATTGTTGCAAAAGTACATTAAAAAATGACATAATTCTGAAATAAAATACCA